GCATCCAGAAAGGTCTTGATGCTGCTGTAATCATCTTTGAGTTGCACCGAGTGAGCCAGGGGAAGAGATGGGTACTTGTTTCCATTATGGAGCAGCACGGCTTTGAGGCTCCTGGATGAGCTGTCAATGAAGAGGCGCCACTCATTCTGGTTACAGGCGATTCCGATTGCCTCAAACAGACTGGTCACATTGTGGCAGAAGCAGAGCCCATCTTGGCGGGTGATGAAGCTGCAAAAAGGTTGGTGACGTTTCCTCTGATCTGCGACTTGCACACTTTTATCCAACAAGTTCCACTGCTTGAGCCTAGACGTCAAAAGCTCGGCATTGGACTTGGTGAGACCAAGATCTCTGATCAAGTCGTTGAGGTATTTTTGTTTGGGGTAGTATGGGTTTCTCTCTTCAGCTCCACCTCTGAAACTGTCATCTGGATCTACGTCTTCCTCGCTCTGACTTGCTGGCTCTCTTCTAAAGACGGATGCTTTCTCTCCGGAGGAGTGGGTACAGGGAGCTCATGGCAATGTGGTTACCGGGGTGATGGTTGAAGGAAGGTCCGGATACGTGATAGCCGGTGCATTCTTGCCACTTCGACGTTTGGAAGGGTCCACCATGCAAAAGTAGTAGTTGCTTGAGTGGTCAGTGGGTTCCCGCCAAATTCTTGGGATAGCGAACTTCATGGCTCTCTTTTCCCCTCTGTACCATCCTACAAAAATACATTTCACCCATGACTAAGGTGTAAGAGATTCTCGCAAAGTTTTTCATATATGATATTTTTTCAATAACATTGTAAAACATTTTAAAATTAAAAACTTTTTACAATTTTAATTTTTTTAACAAATTGTTTAACATTAAATTCCGAGAAACAATTGTCCATTTTACCTTCTAGAGTTTTTTTTTATTGCTCGCAGGTGAAATGAGGTGCCCAGGGTTTGTCTTGATCCCCGATAGGCATGCCAAAATATGCCTTGTAGGCCTCACACATCTTAGCAGATGCTTCCACAGAGTACTTTTTCGCTCTTGTCTTGATAAATTGGCCGCAGACATAGCAAAATACGTCTGCCGGATGCTTGCAGCCTCTTAATGCCATCTCAGAAAAATGCAGATATGTATCCACTTAGGCAGCTGAAACTAAACTGGTGGGTTTAAGGCCCTTGTATTTATAGTATGTATATTACTGGAAAGTTCTAGAATGTTCTAGAAGTTACTCCAAGTTTACTCAGCACTGAATCTATCTGGAATGTTCTGGAAAATAGGTCAATTTCAAAATATCACTGTTCTGGTCACAAAAGCAAAGTTTGTGGGGAATCTTGATTTGAAGCTTTCGTGACTGCAGGAATCCATACTCTTTGGTTCTTTCGGTAAAGTCACGTAGGTAGAGAAATAATAGATCACGACGTTTCGATCGCAACACAAGCAATCGTCATCAGGTGGGACAACCACAGCAAGAAAAAACTGCTGAAGTAGGCGAGAAATCTGCCGTTACGACATCTGTCCAGTGGCTGGACGAAGTACCACGTGAAACAAGTGGAATGACAAGGGCGGTAGTGGTCACCATGGGGCAGCAGCAGTACCAACTGTTGGGAAGTTATCACTAAAGGCCTACGAAACAAGTGCCTGGGGCCTACAAGAAGCTTAATCGGGCCCTGAACCTCGCTGTTGGCCTCCACAGCACTGAATTACAGCCGCACAGCTAAATTATACCGGGTTCTCCAATTTTACAATCAGACTCTTGTATTTATACTGGAGGAATCCGATGAGCTATAAAGCTCTTTGTTCAGATGTCCAGTAGGGGCACGGGGTCAGAACATAACAACAACACAATACTCACAAGCACGATAGGAGTGCAAAGTATAGGAAAGGTAAACAAATAACTTAAAAAAACACAAACTAAAGTAAGAAACTATTTTTTTTCTTAGCAGGTTAGGACCCACTGAGCTGTGTAGCTTCTCTTTCAGAAGCGACCTGGCCTTTACAAATGATAGCTCAACAAAAGTGACTGATATCAGCATGTGGAAATGTGTAGCAGCGCGATAATCAAAACATTTTCTCGAAAGAGTTGACACTTTCAGAAACAGGCACCAAAACAAATGCACGACCAAACCCACGATAAAATTTACGTTTTCACTTTATTTGCAATTACGTCCGTATCCGAGGACTTAAAAAAAGTTTGTCCGCCATTCCACAGGACATCGCTGGAGCAGGATGAATAAAAACACTTCAGCAGTCCCCAGGTAATGTTTAAGAGGTCACTTGAAAGGGCTCTTAATGAGGTCTGTGATGTCTCGTTTTCACGGGCCGTTGTGGCTCACGCACAGTGACACACTTGCTGTGCGAGACTTCTGAATGGATGCTTCGTCACGTGATGAGTATGCCTAGATAAAAAAACTATAACTTTATCTGGAAAAACTAAATCAAGTCACTCGTTTATGATCAAATGAGCATTGTCTCTCCATAAACCATCATCATGCAAACTCCGGTCATAATCGTAGCAGCGGCTTTTCACTAACCATCGAACAAAGATGATCAACCGCACTTTCAGATGCGCTGCTTCTGCGGCCTTCTGGAATGCTCTTCGTTCCGATATTGGGCCGCCACTGGGAGCTATGCAACTTTTACTGGTTGGAACCTCCTGGTTTTTTCTAAGAATATGGAACCTCCTGGTTACACCAGCCCACAGGGGATTATTGTGTCCGTCCGTCGTGCAGGGAGGGGCTGGGTGGGGAGTGTTGTATGTCTTTAAAAAAAATTTTATAATAAAAATTAAATGAAGATTGGAAAAATGCGCCATTATCGAAAATTATGCTAAATTATGTAATTATGCTAATTAGGCGGCTAATTTCATTAATTTCTGCGAATGTATGTGCTTATGCTAATGTGGGCAGTTGTGATAATTAGGCTTAGCTTCGTTGTCTAGGGTTGTATTATATCAATCGGGATAATGCAATTATTCATGCTATAGCATTTACTGATTATGCCTAAGTGTGTTTATGTCAGGTCTCCAAATTCAAATCTCAACGCAGGATACAGTTCTTATAAATAAGATTATTAAGCATGAACTCAGGAAGGAAGCACTCTTCTGTGTTAAACAATTTTAATTTTAAACAAAAACATAACACTCTAATATGCGAACTCGCATGCTTGGAATTATCCACAGTATCATCGGGGAATTTTCCCTCGGTGAGCAGTACATTTAACCATCAATGATTGCGTTGTTTCACTGGGCAACCGAACAGTTGATTAATTCCTCCGAGTAACGCGAGCATATACGGCGATAGGGAAAGTCCTTAAAACATGCATGCGACGATATTCATACGAAAGGCAATACAAGCAAATTATGATATGCCGAAGGCAAAGGTATACGTCAATAGATTCATCGGCAAGATTATATAATTAACAAAATGTCTTGGGACAATGGGGTGCGGTGGTGTGTGTCTGCTGACGCAGATACTTAATTTTTGGCTAAGCCTCAATTAATTCGTGGGCAAGATTCGGTGTTCAAAAGAAAGGTTTAACACAATATTTTCCCTTTGAGAGTGTAGATTCGTAACGAAGGTTTCAAAAGTTTAGTTTGCATCGATGAATCTATTGGTAATTTTAAGCGATTAAAAAAATAAAATAAAAAGTATATATAACGACTGATGTACTTCTAAACGACCGTATTTTTTTATCACTCAATGAGCACCAATGTCTTCACGATCAGCTAATGGTTCATGTGTGTATTGTCTCCTTGATAAATGCTTTGTATTAAGCAGACGCCGGGCGCTGCGTCGTGAGCTTGTGAGGGTAGGGGAGGGGCATACGAACAGCGGCTTCTCTCTCTCGCTCTGTCGCCCGGGCGGGTTTGTTGTTAAATGACGAGTCGGCGCGACGCTCGCCGTTGGCGGTGCGCGATGATTCCGTCGTCAGACAGCGCGCACAGCTCGTCCGCTGCTGGATGTCCTGGTTCCCAGCTGGTGCAGGTCGGTGTGTGTGTTCGAACACACGGCGCTCTCGCTGGCGCGGACACTCTTGCTCGATAGCGCGGCTGGTGCTGTGATGCTGGCTTGGTCGATGTTTGGCGCTTTCCGCCTGTTCTCCAGGACGATGCTGGAATTCTCGTCAGCTCAACTCGAACTGCAGTGGCACGTGGGAGTCGGTACCCAGAGCAGAATGACTTTCGAGCGATACTACTTCTGTTGGTGCTGAACTCGCACTGGGTAACACATTGCTACTCAGCGAGCCTCACCATGCTGGTTGATTGCAGTCTTCTTCTTCTGCTGGATTCTCCTTCTGCTGGCAAGCTTCTGAAATGTATGGGCCGAGTCTCTGATTATATCTGAAAAAAATCTCTCCCCTTGGCACGCCTTCTTACAAAGGACCGGAACCATTCTTTGTGTTAGCTCCCCCCCCTGTGGAAACAGCTGCCGGTGTGTCCGTGTGTGTGTTCTGATTTTATTGGTAATATAAGTTCATCAATGGAAGCAGCTGTCCCAGATTGCCCCCACGTGCGTCCTTTCAGCCCCCTTCACCCTCTCTTTTATGGGGAGATGTTTTTTGCCTGTGTGCAAATCTTGCTATCACGTGCTGTGGGAAGACAAAGGCGGTTGGGAGGCTCTTTTCCTATGGAGTATATTACATCTTGGTTAGGTCTGATGGACTTAATTCGCCTTTCATTCTCCTGGACGACCCTTGGTCTAATACTTCATAATTATTATTTGGTTTGTGTTTATTCAAGATTTGTGATTTAGCATTGTTATTACCACGTATATTCATAGGGTTTTACTAACCTTCGTTCCACAGCCTGCATTCTGGGTTGCTGTTTGTTCTCGAGTTAGTTTTGGTCAGGTCGCGTAGATAAAGATAAAAATAAATGCCATTAGTATTAAAATAATGAATGGGAAATAATAATCCACTGATGTAGATTGTAGCCTGGTTCTTAATTGGAGTGTGAGGATCGATAATGTTCACTTAACCGTTGTTAGAAGAAACATGAAAAAAGTTCACCAAAAAAAACGTCTGTTTCGTTATCCTTCGTCGGGGGGGGGGGGGGGGGCGGGACTTGTGTGTTGTTCTGATTTTATGACTGGCTCCTTCCGTCGTGGGAGGGGAGGGCGTCACATTCGTCTTTGGAAGTTTTATTGCCACCACATGTTGCTGGGAGACAAATGCGGTAGGGAGGCTCTTTGTTCCGAAAGGCAGCTGTGGTGATGGTGGTTGTTACAATTTTGTCTTTGCCTCGTGCTACCCCGCGGTTGATTAAAAATATATATATATTGGCCGAATTATTCTTAACATGAATTTTGGAAAAAGGCTCATATATACAACAGGTGGGAGGGGCTGGGTGGGGAAGGTGGGGAGGGGCTGGGTGGGGAGGGGCTGGGTGGGGAGGGTGGGGCTGTGTAGGGGGTGGGAGGGGTGGGGCTGGGTGGGGAGGGGCTGGTCACCCCGTGGTGCCCTTATAAAACTCAACGTTTTACCTACTCATGCCGGCTTGTGCCCGCCCTCACAGTCGGGCATATTTGCGGAATACACCACGCCGCCGTTGACCCTGGCCATTGACCGAGCAACCCAACGTTCCTACCAGCTCCCTCCGCAGGAATGTGTTAAGTCATAATCGAGATTGACAAACTTGTTTCTTGAGAACTGCTTGTTGTTGTTGTGTTTGATTTGTTGTTCTTCTCCCCGCACCTCCAATCAGCTATGGTCAGCTATGTACGGAGGTGCAAAAGAGACATTTAACATACATACAGTACATTATGCATAACAACGGAACGGGATGCACACGAAGGTTGAGGATAGTCGGCGCTACCGGTCCGGTCATTTCACGCCAGCTTCTCGTCTCCGTCAGTGGGGTGGGCGAGGGGAGGGAGCGGTCGCTTCCCAGGCACAGCGAGCGTCTCGGGCGCTACTCCCGTTTCCGCGTCGTCGTTGCCGGCTTCTCCGTGGCCGCTCCTCCGTCTCCGCGGCCGCTCCGACACTCCGACTTCGCAGTAACCCCTCCCCCCCCTCGCTCCTCTAGCCGCCCCCTTGCGCAGGTGGCGCTCCTCGTGTCTGGCCAGCGCCGCCTCCGAGTAGAACGCAACGGGACAGAGCGCGCACGCGTGGCGTTCCCTGCCGCGCGTGTGCTTCCGTTCGCGGTGCCGCCGCAGGTGGCACTTGCGCGAGAACAGCGACCCGCACGTGTCACAGCGGTGCGATTGCTCACCTGCGTGCCGTCGCTTGCGTGCGTGCGCCTGCTCGCCTGCGTGCGCCCGCTCATGCCGCCGGAGGGTGGCCGCGTGGGCGAACGCCCTCCCGCAGTGAGCGCACGCGAATGGCCGCTCACCCGTGTGCGTCCGCTCGTGCGCGAGGAGGTGCGAGGGCCGGCGAAAGCAGGCGCCGCAGTGGGCGCACCGGTAGGGGTGCCCGCCGGGGTCGGCCGCATGGACCCGGGTGTGCGCCGACAGGTCGTCGGCGTGGGCGAATGCCTTGCCGCACACGGGGCAGCCGTGCGGGCGCAAGGTCGCGTGGACGCGCGAGTGGCGCCGCAGGTGGGCGGCGCGCGAGAACGCCTTGCCGCACGTGGGGCAATCGTGGAGCCTCGCCCGGGGGGGCGCCTCCGCAGGGCCTCCTCCGTTATCCGTCCCTTCGTGCGCCTGGGGCAGATTCTTCTCCTCCGTCGTCCTCTTCGGTGCGTGTCTCGTCTGGCGGTTATTCGAGACGGACTCACCTTCTGCTGCTGTGGCTTTCCTCTGGCGGTCAGTAGAGACAGGCCCCCTCTCCGCTGCAGCACGTGTCGCACGGCGGTTATTAGGGACGGGCCCCCTCTCCGCTGCAGCACGTGTCGCACGGCAGTTATTAGGGACGGGCCCCCTCTCCGCTGCAGCACGTGTCGCACGGCGGTTATTAGAGACGGGCCCACTCTCCGCTGCAGCACGTGTCGCACGGCGGTTACGAGGGACGGGTCCACTTGGTGCCGTGCGTCTCGAGACGGCCGATATTGCCGCCGACGGCTCCCAGTTTGCCGAACTCTCATCCTCATCGTCGTCATGGTGGGTCCGTAGGTGCCTCTCCAGGTCGCTCTTGAGCCTCGTGCTGTACGCGCAGAGGTCGCACTGCAGGGCCTTCTTACGGTGGCGGCGGTGGCTCGAGTGTTGCCACGTGTGGACCTGGAGCCCACGCTCCCGGCTGAACTCCCTGGCGCACACGGAGCAGCGGTGCCTTCCCCGTTCGGCCATCTCGCCCGCTCCGTTCGACTCTGGTGGCAAAGCAGAAGCCGGGCAGCGTCGTTGTGACATCAGTGACGTGCGAGCGCGCTATCTTAATGAGCCAGTGGTTCTTCTTAACCTGGGGTGCATCATGTACCCTGGGGGTGTGTGATGCCCTTTCTGGGCAAGAGACATGGCCAGATTTTTCTTTATTCGAAGGCCAATCATCGAAAACACAAATTAAGCACGGGGCACATTAAGTTACAACTTACTTGTGTTTCAAATAACCGCTGAGATTTTGTGATCCGTAACCACTCTTGGTTAAAACTAGTAATTGTATTGTGCATATCGAATTGGATATAAAACCGATTGATTCAACCGGATAGCCAGAACCCAACTGTTTTAAGCCCCTCTTGAAACAAGCCCAAACATAATCGGTTTACAGTTGAGTTTTGGGTCAACCCAAACCAAAAGCCACTCCAGTCCCGCTGCCTGGAGGCCGCAAATGGAACGTCGATTTGAAGAGCTGTGCCCCACAGCTTCTGTGCCAGACTCGTTCCCTCCCCGGTGATCCCCCCTCCCGCAAACCTCCCTCCCACTCTCCCACCCTCTGTTCCTCCCCTCTCTCTCTCCCCTCCCCTCCCTCTCTCCCTTCCTACCTACCTCCCTACCTACCTTCATCCACGTGCTCCATCATCTCATCCACGTGCTCCATCATCACCTCCACCTCCACCACATCTGGGAACGCCCGCTTCGCAACTGAACCTCCGGCCCGCAGGTCCTCTCCTCCGTCGTCTCGAAGGTCCTCTTTTTTTATTTGGACGCCCTCCTCTTTAACCCGGGGGAGGTCCAGCACGCTGCCGTCGAGACGCTGCTCCCCCTCTGTACAAATTTCTTCCACCTTAATGCTCGGAGCCTGCCCCGTCGTCCGAGGGCTGCGTCCGTCGATACGGATGTCAAAGTGGAGATCCTCCTGCTTAACGCGCGGCTCGTTTCCACCGCTCACGAAGACCTCCTGTTTAATGGGCGGCTTCTCGCCGCCGACCACGGTGTTCACTGCGTCAGCCTCGAGGAGGTCCTCCTCCTCCTCCTCCTTTTTGATGCGAAGCTGCTCCGGCGGTCGCCTCGTTTCCACCGTGAGCTCCGAAACTTTCCTACCAAGGGCATCCCCGTCGGCCCGGACGTCCTCCTGCTTGACGCCGAGGTCACCGCTCGGCCACGCGTCTCCGTCCCGGCGAGCGCAAAGGTCGTCCGCTTTCGCCCGAAGGTCACCATTGCCATTCTGTGGCTCACCTCCTCCGCCACCCCAGGTGTCCTCCAATTTGATGTGGGGGTCCTCCCCTTCAACAGGGAGGTCCTCTGCTTTAATTTCGACCATGAGGACCTCTCCTCCACCAGAGCTGACGTTCTCTCCGTCGGCCCGAAGCTCCTCCCTTCTTGTCCAAAGCTCCTCCCCTCTCATCTGAAGCTCCTCCCCTTTCATCCAAAGCTCCTCCACTTGCACCAAAGGGCCCCCTCGACCGAGCAAAACCTCCCCTCCCGCAGCTAAGAAGGAAAATCTGGAAAAAAGTTACGACGATGTTTATTATTTACTGTCAGAATTATTAAATATTTTACTAATGATATTGAATTTAAAAATGTAGTTACGTAAGCTACCCAGATGAAATCCACAACAGGTTATTTTTTTGGGTTAGATCGCATAAATATAAATGTGTGTCGTTAAACCCGCCACCACCCGACACAGCCAATTAGTTAAGGCGTTTGTCACACAATCAAAACGTGGCCAATAAGTTGCTAGTACAGCACTAACTGGTTGTGTGTTGGAATGATCATATCTCATCTTAGCATAGATTTATACAGCGCCTTGACCAAAGGCGCTTTTCAGAGAGAATTAAGAATGGTGTAAGAACGTGTGCGTGTGTGCGAATGTGATGGTGGTGGGAGATGTGATGAATAAAATGTGGTGTGCGAATCTCTAATGATGCGCGAATTCGGTGAAAGTAAAATTCATGACAGTGGATGATGATGAATGGATCGAATGGTTGAGGTTTAATAAGTGATAGCCATATAGAGAATAATTATTTTGACAGTCAATGATGACGAATAGATTGAATGAATGGGGTTAATGAGTGATAGCCATATAATGAGAACATGAAGAGGGAAGAGTAGTGGTGGTGGTGTTGGTTATGAGGGGGGAGATCTCTGGACGTCGTGGGGGTGAGCTAGGGAACTAGAAAAAGCACACCAATCACTGCCCCACAGACCTCCAGGCCATGCTTCCACCCCCATATAAAAAACGCTTCGCCACCCAAGTACAGTGACTCCTCTACTTACGAACATTCGACTTACAAACTTTCAGAGATACGAACAAACATGTCCTTATGTCGAGTTGCCTGCACGGACCGAGAGCCATGAGTTCAACTGCCGCGCAATAGACGGCGGTGGCATCTACATCTGCAGAACATGAAGAGGCAGTGGCATCTAAATCTAAGGAAGATTTTCCAACTTTTAAAGCCATTCCCCCTGTTGAGTGTACATGCCGTACAACACGTTTGTAATCGACAGTAGTCAAGTTGGACTTCCAACAAATTGACTTACGAACAGCACACCGGTGTGTTGGAGAATAAACCTGCAACACCTACAATTGTAAACTAGCAACGAATTGTCACGTTTTATTTATGTGACAAACCTTACTAATTGGCTGTCGGGTGGTGGCGGCGGGTTTAACGACACTTTTGTATATTTACACACTCTAACCCAAAAACCTCTTATGGATATTGGTCACGAAAGCCGTGTTAAACTGTGTTAAACTGATCATAGAACTCATCCGAAGTTGCTTCAAAATCATTGTTTACACACTGCTGCACAGGGGTGTCATGCTCGAACCCGTTCTCGCAACCACAACCCTGGCGCTAACCCATAGCCCGAACTGGGTTCATGGGTTCCAGCGTGGGTGAGAGCACGGGTTTGAGCATGTATTCGTCTGTCCCTACCCCTGAGCGTATGTGTGTATGTATGTTGAACTTATTTCACACTGTACATAACCAACCATAGCTAATCGGAGCGTGCGGGGGAAGGACAACAAATTAAACACAAAAAGCTGTTCTTCAGAAATTACTTTTCAATGTAGTATAGTGGTGTAGTGTTTAGTAGTGTAGTAGAGTAATCCCTCGCCACTTCGCGGTTCAAGTTTCGCGGCCTCAGTGCATCGCGGATTTTTCAAAAATATTTATCGAAAAAAAAAAATTCAAAAATACCGCCATATCGGCAGCCGTATTGCGGAAAGCAGCGTTGTTTCATCGTGATGCGCGAGAGAAACGGTTTCCCAGGTTGCCAGACAAAGAGAAACTCTCTCAGAGGCTTTGTGCATACCCACGGGCACTCAGACAAGGCACGTGATTGGTTCCCGGCGCGAGATCGACGAATGAGAGCACGAGTGGATGTATCCCGTGAGCTGATTGGCTGCGCATCATCGTTGTCATCGTCGTCGTCATCATTACTGGAGTCAAGTCTCAAGATACTACTGTCATTGGTGAGTGTAGAACACCATAATACGTATCGTATGAGAGAGAGTGTATAATATTAAGGTTTTATAATTAAATAGATTTAAGTAATATATATATAAAGTATAAATATACATATTTTAAACATTCTGGTACCCACACACACATATACGGAAATTCCTAGGGGGCCAATCCTACTTCGCGGATTTTCACCTATCGCGAGGGGTTCCGGTCCCCATTAACCGCAATAAACGAGGGATCACTGTATATACCAAAATAAACAGAGATCCCACCAACTGACTAGCTACTAAAACCAACAATATCACTAAATCGACTTCTCTAATCGATCAGACCAAGCAGAGCTGCCTAAAACCTTCGGCTGCTAGACCACCCAGATTTTATGGCCTTCCTAAAATCCACAAAGAAGGTACCTCGCTCCGCCTTATCGTCTCCACGATTAACTCACCCACCTACAAACTGGCCCGATTTCTGTCTGAGACTCTGCTTCCTTTCACTGGCAAGTCCACCTCAGCTGTACTTAACTCAGTTCACTTGGTTTATCTAATCAAGGACATCTCACTCTCTCCGGATGATTTGCTTGTCAGTTTCGATGTAGTTTCTCTGTTCACCAATGCACCTGTACTTGACACCATTGCAATCGTTGAACACTTGGTCCAACAGGGACTGAATGCAGATGTACCAACTTTGGTAAAGCACTGTCTTACCAACACATACTTCACCTGGAATGGTACATTCTACAGACAAGATGAGGGTACCCCAATGGGTTCTCCCTTATCGCTAGTGGTAGCGAATGTTTTCATGGAATATTTTGAGACAGATGCCATCAAGACATCCACCCTACATCCTTCCTTGTAGAAGAGATACGTAGATGACACGTTTGTCATCTGGCCACATGTTCTGCCAGCACTGAACCAATTTCTCAACCACATCAATTCCATACACCCGTCTATCAAATTCACTATGGAAGTGTAAAAGGATGGGAAGCTACCATTCCTGGATGTAGTGATCGAGAAGAGACCTGATGGCTCGTTGGGACATTCAGTCTACAGGAAAGCCACCCACACAGATCTATATATAAAATCGTGAATCTGTCTGTGTGTCTGTGTGTCGCCGGACCATACGCAATTTCATTGGACGAAATGTCAGGGATTTGCGACACACGATTGGTCCGGCGGTTGCCCCTGGCAACGGGTAGCGACGCATTCGCCATTTTTAATTCCCGTTAAAAATAGGCGCACGCATTAACACGCGACTCTGAGGTAAATTCATCAAAGTTTCACGTCCTCTTCACTCCCCCCCCCACCACAATGTGTGCAATTACTATTATAGGGTCGGTAGATTATAAAATTATAGCCATTAGACAGTATTATTGTAGCGCGGGGGGGGGGGGAACGGCACCCGTACCCAGCGTCAGCCGGGTGGGAAAATCAGGCGAGGCCGGAGGCTCTGCACGGTGCTAGGCCTCGACACCCACCACGCCACTCTGAGGTAAATTCATCAAACTTTCACGTCCTCTTCACTCCCCCACCACCCCAATGTGTGCAATTACTATTATAGGCTCGATAGATAATAAAATTATAGCGATTACACAGTATTATTGTAGCGCGGGGGATCGGCGCGCCTCACTAAAACCCTACAACGGATCGGCGCGCCTCACTAAAACTCTACAACAGATCGGCGCGCCTCACACAAATCCTACAACGGATCGGCGCGCCTTACACAAACCCTACAACGGTAGCGTTACGCATTGTAGTGTCGTGGTTAGCACGCCGCGCTACGAACCCGGCGACCCGAGTTCCATTCCCGCTCACGGCCACCACCGGTGACGATTATTTCAACCGGTCCTGGGCCTCCCCTAGGTCGACTCAGCCTCAAAACGAGTAACTGCTGTGGCGTATGAACATCGCCACTGGGGAGACAAAGGCGGCCTAGCGTCGTGGATCCAAGACCCGGGCGAAGCCGGGTAGTAAAGCTAGTGCCTATCTAAAGCCTGATTCCCACCACCATCCAGCCCAGAAGAATTCAACGACCAGCACCACCTAGCTAGTGAGTTGGAGCACGTACACCAAGCCCTCAGGATGAACGGATACTCGGACCGTACTGGAGTGAGTGAGTGGTTGTACTGGGTGGTTGTACTGAGTGGTTGTACTGAGCGAGTGGTTGTAGTGAGTGAGTGGTTGTAGTGAGTGAGTGGTTGTACTGAGCGAGTGGTTGTACTGAGCGAGTGGTTGTAGTGAGTGAGTGGTTGTAGTGAGTGAGTGGTTGTAGTGAGTGAGTGGTTGTAGTGAGTGAGTGGTTGTACTGGGTGGTTGTACTGGGTGGTTGTACTGAGTGGTTGTACTGAGCGAGTGGTTGTAGTGAGTGAGTGGTTGTAGTGAGTGGTTGTACTGGGTGGTTGTAGTGAGTGGTTGTACTGGGTGGTTGTAGTGAGTGGTTGTAGTGAGTGGTGGTTGTAGTGAGTGAGTGGTTGTAGTGAGTGGTTGTAGTGAGTGAGTGGTTGTAGTGAGTGAGTGGTTGTACTGGTTGGTTGTAGTGAGTGAGTGGTTGTAGTGAGTGAGTGGTTGTACTGAGTGGTTGTACTGAGTGAGTGGTTGTAGCGAGTGAGTGGTTGTACTGAGTGAGTGGTTGCAGTGAGCGAGTGGTTGTAGTGAGCGAGTGGTTGTAGCGAGTGAGTGGTTGTACTGAGTGAGTGGTTGTAGTGAGTGAGTGGTTGTACTGAGTGAGTGGTTGTAGTGAGTGAGTGGTTGTACTGAGTGGTTGTACTGAGTGAGTGGTTGTACTGAGTGAGTGGTTGTACTGAGTGAGTGGTTGTAGTGAGTGGTTGTAGTGAGTGGTTGTACTGAGTGAGTGGTTGTAGTGAGTGAGTGGTTGTACTGAGTGGTTGTAGTGAGTGGTTGTAGTGAGTGGTTGTACTGAGTGAGTGGTTGTAGTGAGTGGTTGTACTGAGTGAGTGGTTGTACTGAGTGGTTGTACTGAGTGAGTGGTTGTACTGAGTGGTTGTACTGAGCGAGTGGTTGTACTGAGTGAGTGGTTGTAGTGAGCGAGTGGTTGTAGTGAGCGAGTGGTTGTACTGAGCGAGTGAGTGGCTGTAGTGAGTGAGTGGTTGTAGTGAGTGAGTGGTTGTAGTGAGTGAGTGGTTGTAGTGAGTGAGTGAGTGGCTGTAGTGAGTGAGTGGTTGTAGTGAGCGAGTGGTTGTACTGAGTGAGTGAGTGGCTGTAGTGAGTGAGTGGTTGTAGTGAGTGAGTGGTTGTAGTGAGTGAGTGGTTGTAGTGAGCGAGTGGTTGTAGTGAGCGAGTGGTTGTACTGAGCGAGTGGTTGTACTGAGCGAGTGGTTGTACTGAGTGAGTGAGTGGCTGTAGTGAGTGAGTGGTTGTAGTGAGTGAGTGGTTGTAGTGAGTGAGTGGTTGTAGTGAGTGAGTGGTTGTAGTGAGCGAGTGGTTGTAGTGAGCGAGTGGTTGTAGTGAGCGAGTGGTTGGAGTGAGTGGTTGTAGTGAGTGGTTGTACTGAGTGAGTGAGTGGTTGTAGTGAGTGAGTGGTTGTAGTGAGTGAGTGGTTGTAGTGAGTGGTTGTAGTGAGCGAGTGGTTGTAGTGAGTGAGTGGTTGTAGTGAGTGGTGGTTGTACTGAGTGGTTGTACTGAGTGGTTGTACTGAGTGGTTGTAGTGAGTGGTTGTACTGAATGGTGGTTGTACTGAGCGAGTGGTTGTAGCTACGCACCTGGCGACCTGAGTAATGGGGGTGGGGGTCTCGCGCTGGGGGGGGGGAGTCACGTGGTGAGTCGGCAACCCCGAAGCGACGCGGAGCGGCTTGGTGCAGGCTAAGCCGCCTCACTCGGATGCAGCGAGCCGCACACAAAGGCAAAGCTCCCCCGTGTAGCCTCTAGCAGGCTGCGGTGGCAAGTGCTGTGCGTAGCGAGTCGCAGCGCCTATGAAGTTGGCAAAAGGGCAATTGTTTCTTGCTGTGGTTGTCCCACCTGATGACGGACGCTTGTGTTGCGCCCGAAACGTAATTTAATTTCTACCTACGTGACTTTACCGAAAGAACCAAAGAGTATGGATCCCTGCAGGCACGAAAACGTCAAATCTAAGTTGGAAGCTCTACGTCTGAAGATGCACCAACACGTGGCCGGGGACCCGAGTGAGGGTCCGACCTTTCGTAGCGGTAACTCCTCTGTGCAGTGTAGTTAGCTGGGTGGTCACCACCCTCGGCTGTATCTGGCAAAGGGGCAGTTACCCCTTTGTGTATTTACGTGTTACAATAAATGTGTTGCCTCTCACGCATAACGTGTGCGACTCTGTTGGCCTCACTACACTTGCATCGCCTTTCTACTGTTCGCCTTTTGTCATTGTTGGTGAGACAAGGCCATTCAGAAGGCAAATGAGTTTGAAATACAATGCGTTCATCATCATTATTAGTATGAGAATGTTTGTTTGGATGTTTTTCCACAAGTTATATGTTGTGGTTAATGCGGACTTGATTCCTTGCAAAGGGTAATGAAGCCTATTCTGATTGTTTCATCAAAGTTTTCATTTTGTGAAACATAATCGACAAACTACTCACCCTCTCACTCACTCACCCACTCACTCACCCACCCACGTACCCACTCACCCACCGACTCACTCATTCAGTCACTCGTCCACTCATTCATACACTCACGCTCCTGCTTACCCACCCACTTACTCACCAACTTATCCACCTACTCACGTACTGACTCACTCACCCACCCACTCATTCACTCACTTACTCACCCACTCCCTCACCCACTCAGTCCCCACTCGCTCACCCACTCACCTACTAATTCACTCACTCACCCACTCATTCACTCAATCATTCACACACCCACGCACCTATTCACCCACCCACTCACTCACCCACTCACTCACTTTCTGACTTACCCACTCACTCACCCACTCACTCACCCACTCAATCACTCACACACCCACGTACTCACCTACTCACTCACCCATCCACTCACCACTCACTCAATGACAAAGATCCCCGTATAGCCTTAACAGACTGTTGGGGCAAGTGCTGTTAGTGAACACCTATCAACGCCGGTACGACACACGAGGAGATGGGTGGCCAGCATCATGCCCGGCCGCCTTTGTCTCCCCAGTGGTGATGTTTTCACACCTCACCAGGTACTTATTTGAGGCTGAGTCGACCTAGGGGATGCCCAGGTACCAGCTCAGATAATCGCGCCGTGATTGGTGGCCGTGAGCGGGAATCGAACTCGGGTGTTTTTCCAGGTTCGTAGCGCTAACCGCTGCACCACCGCTCCCGTACCCCCACTCACCCCTCCCCCCACTCACCCCTCCCCCACTCACCCCTCCCCCACTCACCCCTCCCCCCACTCACCCCTCCCCCCACTCACCCCTCCCCCCACTCACCCCACTCCCCCCACTCACCCCTCCCCCACTCACCCCCCACTCCCCCCACTCACCCCTCCCCCACTCACCCCTCCCCCCACTCACCCCTCCCCCCACTCACCCCTCCCCCCACTCACCCCTCCCCCACTCACCCTCCCCCCACTCCCCCCACTCACCCCACTCCCCCCACTCACCCCTCCCCCCACTCACCCCTCCCCCCACTCCCCCCACTCACCCCTCCCCCCACTCACCCCTCCCCCCACTCACCCCTCCCCCCACTCACCCCTCCCCCCACTCACCCCTCCCCCCACTCCCCCCACTCACCCCACTCCCCCCACTCACCCCTCCCCCCACCCACCCCTCCCCCCCCTCCCCCCACTCCCCCACTCACCCCTCCCCCACTCCCCCCACTCACCCATCGAGGCCCTGCGCTCAAATCGCCGCGGACCCTGGAGTGAGAATTCACTTCCGCCTCAACGCCTTCACCTCGACTCACGCCGAGTCTCACGGGTGTCTCACGGCGAGTCTCACGCCGAGTCTCACGGTGAGTCTCACGGTCTCACGCCGAGTCTCACTGTGAGTCTCATCTCACGGCGAGTCTCACGGTGAGTCTCTGAGTCTCACGGGTGTCTCACGGTGAGTCTCACGCCGAGTCTCACGGTGAGTCTCACGGTCTCACGCCGAGTCTCACGCCGAGTCTCATCTCACGGTGAGTCTCTGAGTCTCACGGACTCACGGCGAGTCTCACGGTGAGTCTCACGGTGAGTCTCTGAGTCTCACGGTGAGTCTCATCTCACGGCGAGTCTCACAGTGAGTCTCACGGTGAGTCTCATCTCACGGCGAGTCTCACGGTGAGTCTCTGAGTCTCACGGTCTCACGCCGAGTCTCACGCCGAGTCTCACGCCGAGTCTCACGCCGAGTCTCACGGGTGAGTCTCACGGTGAGTCTGAGTCTCACGGGTGTCACGGCGAGTCTCACGCTGAGTCTCTGAGTCTCACGGTCTCACGCCGAGTCTCACGCCGAGTCTCACGGGTGAGTCTCACGGTGAGTCTGAGTCTCACGGGTGTCACGGCGAGTCTCACGCTGAGTCTCGTCTCAGGGTGGGTCTCGCGGCGAGGCTCACGGTGAGTCTCACGGTAATTCCTTCGTTATTCACAGATTTGCTATTCGTGATTTTGGCTGTATCTGCGAATCATATCTAGAACTCAATACGACTGCTGCATCTCGAGAGAAAGAAGTGGTGAGAGACAAAGTGATTAGATGTATAAAAAAAACATTTATTACCATTAACGTAATGATAATACATCCAAAGTTCATTACACTGACACTTCGTATTCCGAATCTTCGCCTTTTGGTAGTAGTATTGCACAGAACGGCACCCGGCTGAAATCGGAAGGCACAGCTCCAAATCCAGAGCAATCGAGGGTCACCGGCACGGCCGCTGGCAACCGGGCAATGTTACTCACCGCAGAGAACCGCAGGAGACACGACCGCCGCCACGACGCGATAGCCGGCGCCACAAAATGTGGCACACTGCAACCCTCCCAGGCGCGGCCCTTTTAAATTCCGATTCCGTTCCGATGGCGCCCAGAACGCGTACTGATGATGTGCAAGTACGTCATCGAAACGGAATTATAAAATACAACCAATGGTGTATAAGTATGAAACATAATAATGGGTATTTTGTAGCTTTCGTGACTGCAGGAATTACTCTTTGGTTCTTTCGGTAAAGTCACGTATATAAAGATAAAATAATAAATTAAAAAATAGCATAGTATGCCATTATTTACCGAAAGAATAAGAATGGGTGTTTTACCCTTTCTGGCAATAAACAAGGAGATGTGTTAAGACGTTCAAACACCAAATGGATGATACCTTTTGCAAGGCATCACGTCTGCATTAACCCCACACGCTACTTGTGGTGAACATGCAAACAAACATGGCTCTGATACTAATCTACGCATTGTCTTTGAAACTGACTGGCCTTCACCAGAGACAACGGCCTTCTTCATGCCCTAGTCTCACCAGCAGTGTCAGACCAGATAACGCCAAAAGTCTTTGTACCGACGTACATCATCTGAATGGAATCGGAACTAAAACTGATGACGTACGCTGCACGGCATGTTTGCGTTAGATGTCTGTCATTGGAACTGAATCGGAATTAAAGCTGATGACGTAGGCTGCACGGCATGTTTGGGTTTGACGTACGTCATGGGAACGGAATCGGAACTAAAGCTGATGACGTAGGCTGCACGGCATGTTTGCGTGTGACGTACGTCATGGGAATGGAATCGGAACAAAAGCTGATGATGTAGGCTGCACGGCATGTTTGCGTTTGACGTACGTCATGGGAACGGGAAAGGGTTAAGAAACGTGCCGGGCTGTTTTTTTTCTTTCTTCGGTGTCATGGTGCGCCACTCGCCCGTCTGATTCATCGCGTTTGAATTTCGGCAGCAACTGCCACCGCCACCACCGGCTTGCGATGTCCAACGCCGGCTCCTCCGCCGTTGCCGCCGCCGCCGTTTCTGCCGCCGGGCAACCTCCGGCAAAGAAGACGAAGTTCACGGGTGCCCACCGCTACCGCACCAAGTTCAACGCCGATTGGACGAGCCGCTACCCGTTCATCAGTGCCGTGAGGGGCGAGCCGTGCCTCTACCGCTGCGGCGTCTGCGCCAAGGTGCTTTCCTGCGCCCACCAGGGCGAGACGGACGTCAGGAGGCATGTGGGCAGTGACAGCCACGCCAAGATGGTGATCTCGCGGGGCGGGCAAGGCGGCGGCAGTGGTCATGGCCTTCCGGAGACCACGTTCGTGACGCCCGTCTCGTCAGACCTCAAGGAAGAGGTGAGAGGGAAGGGAGGGTGGGAGGGATGTCGTAGGAAGTTAAAAAAAGGGTCGGAGGACCGATGTTTCGCGTGGTTTTTGCCGCAAGTTCGTGTGGTTAATGCGCACTGCTCAACCCCTGAGCTGTGAATGCTCTGATAGTTACATTTCCTTTGTTCTGTTCGCCTTTTGGCGGTCTCTGGTCTGACACCGGTGGTGAGACAAGGCCATAAAGAAGGCTGCTGTCTCTGGTGTAGGCCCATCAGTTTCAAAGACAATGCGTGCATTATTATTATAGGAGCGTGTTACGTGGTGAATGCAGACTTGATGCCTCGCAATAGGTGTGTCAATTTGGTGTCTGAACATCTGAACACCCTCTCTATCATTGGATGAAAGAGTAAAAGCTATTCTTATTTTTGTCATGATGATACTGGCAAAAGGGTCCCAAAGATATAACTGCGCTAGCCGAGCGATAGGTGCTCTGATAGTTGTGTAGTGTTGTATATATTGACGAATACACTTCTTATGAGGCAACACGATATTTTATTGTCTCTACTACACGGTCCCTAACACAATGGGTGTATCGGTCCCTTTAGCCGATACCTGGGGAGGTATGGCCCCCGGACTATCACTGGGTAACCCGTTCCCTATAGTCCTCCGGTTGGGACCTAGGAGAGGCTATCTGACCCGACCTCCTGGTCCATGGGTCCTGACCACTGGCCTCACTGAGCTCCGGCCCTTAGAAGGACAGCGGAGCTTGGGGTCCAGGGTTCTATTCTCCAGCCCGGTCTTCAGTCTTCAGCGTGTAGATAACTGAGCCAGAGCTCTGAGAGCTGTGGACTCGTCTAATTACGAACGAGTCAGGTTCCAAAGGTCTGTTCGTGAGCCAATTTGTTTGTGAGTCCAACTTTACTCCTGTCGATTTCAAACGTTGTACAGCATGTACACTATGTACGGGGAATGGCTTTAAAAGTTGTATAATATCCTGTAGATGTTGATGCCACTGGTTCTTCACGTTCTGTAGATGTAAGATGCCACTGGTTCTTCATGTTCTGTAGATGTAGATGCCACTGGTTCTTCATGTTCTGTAGATGTAGATGCCACTGGTTCTCCATGTTCTGTAGATGTAGATGCCACTGGTTCTTCACGTTCTGCAGATGTAGATGCCACCACCGCCATCTAATACGCGGCGGTTGAACTTACGACTCTCGGTCCGAACAGGCAACTGGACACATGACACCGGATTGTTCATTCTTCTGAAAGTTCGTAATTCCAATGTCCCTAAGTAGAGGGAGTCTCTGTATCACCCAAAAAAAACCGGACGTGAAATATTTAGAGAATGCCATCTCCATCGCAGCCCCAAGAAGAGGAGATGCTGTCTTGTTGCGAGGAGGAGGAGGTGCCGCTGCCGCTGGAGGCGACCGGCAACGGCAGCGGCTTCCCGGCATGGCTGGAGACGCAGGGCGTGAGCGCCGAGGTAGCCCGCGCCCTCGACTCGGAGCTGGGCATCCGCGACTACGGTCTCCTGCGCGCCTGCGTGGACGACGGGAGCGTGCGAGCGGAGCTGCTGGCCGCCGCTCGCCACCGCCTGCCCTTCGGGTTCTACGCGGCGCTGAGGCGCGCCGTGAAGGCCCTGCGACAGCCCGACGATGAAGACGGAGCAGGAGGAGAAGTGGAAGGAGGAGCGGAAGGAGGAGGAGCGGAACGAGGGGGAGCAGGAATCGCGGGAGGAGGAGCGGGAGGAGAAAGAGTGGAAGGAGGAGTGGAAGGAGGAGCGGGAGGAGACGCCGCAGGGGCGACGCTGCTGGGAGGCCTCGTGGAGGCGCTCCTCGCGCTCTTTGGCGGCCTCAGCCGCGAGCTGCTACTCTCTGCGGAGCGCCTGGGGGCGCTGTACGGCCATCGGTGCGCCCCGGATGGCGGCGCTGTGAGCCCCGGGGGCGGCTGCGACGTGGAGTGGCACACGGAGCACGGTGAGTTAATGCTCGATTGCATACATATAGTAGTGTGTAGTAGTGACTAGTGTAGTGTATAGTAGTGTAGTGTAGTGCATAGTCGTGAGTGGTGTAGTGTATAGTATATGTATGTTGAACTTTTTTTGCACCATACGTAGCCAACCCTACCTGAGCGGAGGTGCGGGGGGAAGGACAACAAACCAAACACAAAACAGTTCTGTAAAGAAGTGAGTTTGTCAATCTAGATGATGATTTAAAAGTTGCATAAGCCTGGTCATCAATAGCTGTACATGACAAACAAAAAAATGTAGTTTTGTAAATGTGGTTTTCCCGTTTCCGGAGAATAGAAAAGTCTTGCGTATGGACTAGCGCAGGGCGAGGGGTGGTGAGTAGCGCAGACAGTCAGATGTAGGCAACTCCGGACCTCAGGAACTTTCCTCGTCATCACTCGAAGTCACGCCGCAAGCCCTTTTGGACCCAAGCGCTTAACCGTAAACAATGTGAATTCAACCCCAATGAAGCCTGCAGAGCTGAATCGAGTTCAAAAAAACTCGTAAACAAACATATCTTGTGAAATACCCAACACAGAAGATGATCTGTAGGGGCAAGTGCTGTTAGCGAGCACCTATGAAGGTTGGCACTGTGGCACACAAGGGCGGTAAGTGACCAATACCATGCCAGACCGCCTTTGTCTCCCAGTTGTCGATGTTTACACACCGCACTGGGTACTCATTTGAGGCAGAGTCGACCTAGGGGAGGCCCAGGAATGGTTCAGATAATCGCTATCGCCGGTGTTGGCCATGAGCGGGAATCGAGCTCGGGTCGCCGGGTTCATAGCGCAGTCATGCTCACAGCGACCAACACTACCGCTCACCGCAATCAGTCACTTGGATCACACGCAAGCAGAATCATCACCACAATCAGTCGCTTGGATCACACGCACGCAGAATCATCACCACAATCAGTCGCTTGGTTCACACGCACGCAGAATAATCACCACAATCAGTCAGTTGGCTCACACTGACGCAGAATCATCACGTCAATCAGCCGCTTGGTTCACACGCACGCAGATTCATCACCGCAATCAGTCACTTGGATCACACGCACGCAGAATCATCACAATCAGTCAGTTGGCTCACACGCACGCAGAATCATCACCGCAATCAGTCACTTGGCTCACACGCACGCAGAATCATTACCGCAATCAGCCGCTTGGTTCACACGCACGCAGATTCATCACCACAATCAGTCGCTTGGATCACACGCACGCAGAATCATCCCCACAATCAGTCACTTGGCTCTCGCGCACGCAGAATCATCTCCGCAATTAGCGGCCGTCCATAAATGACGTCAAGCATCTAGGGGGGGGGGGAGGGGGTCAGACATTTGTGACAATGTGTGACGAGGGAGGGGGGGGGGGTGAGAAATGTGACGTCACATCAAAATGCGCAACTTTAAATAAATATAGACAACATGTTCTATTTAATTAAATAGACTTTTTAATAAATGTTTTATCCTACAACATCAGAGTACGCACTACAATGACAATAGTTTAAAGCGATTTGAAGCATGTTTTTTTTTTGGGGGGGGAGCTTTGTGACGTCATATTTCAGGGGTGGTTTGACTTTTTGTGACGCCGTGTGACGAGGGGGGGGGGTAAAAAATCCTCCAAAATCGCGTGACGTCATTTATGGACGGCCCCTTAGTCAGAATCATCAGTGCGGAGAGAGAGAGACCACTCAGTTGATGCCGTGCATCCGGCTTTTGTTGCAGAGGAGGTGGGGGAGGCTCCGACGCATGAAATCTTGGAGGCCGATCCCAGGTGGGAGACGATGGCGGTGAAGATGGAGGCGAGCGGAGGTATTTTATTACGCGCTTTTATTGAACTCACTCTGTCTGTTGTTGTCGTTGTCGTATCCGCAAATCTTGTAACTAAAATTTTACCCACTTCCCAATGTGGTATCGACTGCAAACTTGGTATACTTATGTCATTCTGATGACAAAACTATATTCTATCATAAAAAAGTATATATTTTAAACATTCTTTTTTATATGTTATGTTTCGCCTGGGATCTAATTGTCCACGCTCAACTCACGTTGGCTTTAAATCATCACGGCCCCTTACGTTATGGCAAGCCTCGGGGCCACTTCCTGGAGTCGTGGAGTTCTGCCATTACTCGTACGGTACATTTTATGTAAGCGTGTTTTTAAAAAGTATTTTTTAAATATTACTTATTTTTCTCTTGTTCAATCCTCCTGCTAATTTTCGTTCGTACAGCGCTTGAAACACAACAGATCAGTTATCTATAACTGCATTTAGACTTTTCTCAAGCGGTTTGATGGCATCCGGGGTCAGCGGATGGATTCCATTTTGCACGTCCCTGAAGACGAACGTTGATCTGTGCGATGCGGGCGATGGATTGCACTTCACCGCAGTCACAATCAGGCGACTCCTCAACCCCACACTTTATAGAGGCGGTAGCCGCACCAGACCCCACCTCCGATGTGTAGATCTAACACGGTTGAGTGCAGTCCCTGGTAGGATATGTGAATGGATGTGCCGAGGTGCCGAGGTGTCATCACCCTCGCCAGGTGTGCAGGAGGTCGTGGGTTCGATCCCGAACCCGACGCCAGTATATTTGGGGAGCAGCGGCTCATGCACGGTTAGGGAGCAGCGGCCCAGGCAGGCCCAAGGAGCAGCAGCTCACGAGTAGCTCAGGCAGGCAGCTGGGTCAAGTAGCTCAGGCAGGCAGGAAGGCCACTCAGGCAGGTAGATGGCTCAGGCATACAGGCAGGCATGGTCCAGCGGTTGCAGAGATTCGTGTTGAAGTGTCCGCAGCGAGCTTCAAGCAGTCGACAAGGGCGAGCTGCTCGGAGCCGCCGCTCGACATTACGAGCGAGGAGAGCCACACGACGGGTGCGCGCGGTTCACAACAGCGGGGCAGCGGTGACGATGACGACACTCGCAACGTTGATTTTGCGGGAGCCGGTGTGCCCCGCCGCCTGACTAACGCAGTGCGCAGGCAGTCCCCGTTAAACGCGGGAGGAGATAAGTTCCTGGAAAGTGAGGCGTGGAGCGATTAGCCCAGTTTCCACGTAAATAATTTGACGGTAGAGTTTGGCGAGATACGGTATTTTACGCACACCGTGCAGTGGGACAGCGGGAGAAATGACTGAGGGTACGTCGCCGCGTTACTATATCGCTTTGCCGCTCAGCCGCGTGGCAGCTCAAGAAAGTAGTTCATCGTCGACCGCTCAGCAGCCGCGGTATAACGGTGTGTGTACGGCGGTATAACTGTGTGTGTACTGCGTTGTGACGGTGTGTGTACCGTGTTGTGACAGTGTGTGTACCGCGTTGTGACTGTGTGTGTACTGCGTTGTAGCGTTGTGTGTACTGCGTTGTAGCGGTGTGTGTACCGCGTTGTAGCGGTGTGTGTACCGCGTTGTAACGGTGTACCACATTGTGACGGTGTACCGCGTTGTGACTGTGTGTGTACCACGGTATAACGGTGTGTGTGCTGTGTTATAAGTGTTCTGCGTTCCGCTAAAAGTGTTCTCTAATGGAAGAATCTCTTTATAGCGAAAAACAGGTTCAAGTGTGAGCACAGCCACGCGTTAAGCAAGGACTTTGTTTATCTTGTCAAACTTGTGCGGCCCAACAAACGCTCGCATTTACGCACGAATTTCATACATTGCGCAGTTAACCAATAATTTAAGTGCATTGCACCACACAAGAACGGATTTGTTAGCGTGCATAAACAAGTGAGCTTATCATCGTCGTTGTTATGTTGGATTTCGTCTCTCCTCTCCCCAGACCTGCATCCCTGGATGCTTTCTGCTTCTGCGCAGCGGCTGCCCCCCAAACGGGAAGAGAAGCCGGGAGGTATAACGCTTACCACTGGGAGCCCCTGGGGATACAGTCGATTATCCGGAGGATAATCACCAATCATTATTTATAACAGTTTAATTTTGCACATTCTTGTACAACGTTATGTTAGTAGACGTTGTGTGTGTTTTTTTAGTGTTTTTAATTTGTTTGCAATGTCAAATTTGTCGTAAATAAACGTACAAATAGACACAAGTAAACATCCTACTGTTAAAAGTTGCTTCATTTACTGCACCCTACCTACCACTCCAATCACGAAGAGTCTGCATCACGGGGTGATGTAGCAAGTAGTACTTCTCCGCTCTTGCGTGTTTGACGATCGCCGGACTGATGCGGACACCGAATTGCACGGCGCACTTTTCGCCGCATGATGAAAAGTCACGCAAAATGTGTATATACATGCAGTACTTTCACTGTTTAAGTTGTACGTACGGTTGTGTATAATGTACCGTATTTACAATATTTGAATCAAGCGCATAGCAACTTTTTTGTCACATGCACACACGCGGTGGTGCCAATGGCTGGACTGGTTACAGCCCGGGACCGCCGGATATGTTGGAAGCAGGCGGATAATTGTGCACTGGATAATCGATACTATGTCTGCGTATATGTATATGACTGTGTGTAATATATGTGTGTATAAAACGCAGCAAGTTGGCACGGTGGGGAGCACAGGTGGAGCGTCTGCTAGACGTCTCAGTCAGTCAACCCATGGCACCACCTGGGTCTGTCCCGTGACCTCCTGCCGGCAGTGGGGAGCCTTCCAACAATTCACGCGATAGCCTAAAAAGTGCACCGCGACTGGCACAAACCCCTAGATTTAAAGCTTTCATGGCTGCAGGAATCCATACTCTTTGGTTGTTTCAGTAAAGTCACGTAGGTAGAAAATAAAATAAATCACGACGTTTCGATTGCACCTGATGATTGCTTGTGTTGCAATCGAAACATCGTGATTTATTTTATTTTCTACCCACGTGACTTTACCGAAAGAACCAAAGAGTATGGCACAAGCACCGTGGCGACGTCGCCGCCACTTAGCGGTGAACGGTGGCCGCCGTTATATCTGTGCTGGATAATTATCGATGATCAGCTGTAATCGATGACTGTGATCGCGGAAGGTGACGACGACGGAGCACGCAGCTGCCAGGGTGCCGCGCGCCGGCACTTTAACGCCACCCCCCCCCTCCACCACCCCTTCCCGGCGCGTCTCACCCTCAGACGTGGCCGAGGATTTTCGGGCGGAAGAAGGGGGCCTTCCGCGCGACGGAGAAGAGGCGGATGGTCGAGAGCTGCGCACCCCCTGGGTGGACGTCGTCCACGCGGAAGGAGACAACCTCCTGGGTGACAGAGAAGACCTCCAGGCCTATGGAAGGGACCTCCAGTCTGCTGGACTCAGCGCTAGGCCGGGGGCGGTGACTGTGGCCACGCGGAGAGACGTGGCGGTGGCTGCGACGGCCCCAGGCGTCGAGGCCAAGGTGGAGCTGCAGGATCCGAGCAGCGACGGTGAGGATCTGACCCCGGCGCGGCCGAGCGATGGATGAACTGCGACGTCGTTTTCGTAGCGACCGCCGCCCGATCGCACTCGATCTGAATTGAGACTTAAAAACCACAATTTTGTTTTATTTTAATCTTGATTTTAAGCTTTATGGGACTGCAGGAATCCATACTCTTTGGTTCTTTCGGTAAAGTCACGTAGGTAGAGAAATAATAGATCACGACGTTTCGATCGCAACACAAGCAATCGTCATCAGGTTTGAAATGGGTGTAGCTCAAAGGTCATAAGATGTAAGGCCACACTGAGCTGTGTTCGCTCTTTTGTCAGAAGCGACCCTGGCCATCGCAAAGATGATAGCTCAACGAAGTGGGCTTATGATCATGATCGTTTATAGCAGCAGCGAAATACTCTAAACGCGTGATGTTCATTCTCTATGGGTGTCTGTGGTTCTCTATGCTGAGTCTCTTGAGTGTAGAAACCCACGTTGAGAGTATTATACATCTCCATGTGACGACGATGATAAGCCCACTTCCTTGAGCTATCATTTTGTGATGGCCAGGTCGCTTCTTTAGATCTGGTAAAATAAAACATAAAAAAATATTTCATAGTTTAGCTCGGACAGATACACATGCTGGAACCGCTCGTGCTGACACGGTTAAACCCTCCAACTCCTCTTCCCCCTACCCCCGGGGGAACTCGGCTGTTTGCGGCAGGGTCTGCGATCGCCGCCTTCCCGTGCCCCGCGTGTGGGCAGCAGCCGGCACCGGCCGGTGACCCGGGGAGGCCTCGGTTCGACTCTCGGAGCCACGCGCTGATCCGGCGTCGTCCCTCAGCCGCGACGCGACGGCACCATCGCCGCTGCGCCCGGTGCGGTGTCGCGGCCGCGGCCGTCGGCGGCTCCGCGGGGGAGTGGCACTGCCTGCTGTGCGGTGGGGTCTCCGTGCCGGGGCTCGGGCAGCACCACCAGTGGGGGCAGGGCGCGGGAGAGCGGCCGCACCCTCTCGAGCCCCGTCGTCACCGTGACGAGGACGATGACAACGACGACGCCAGAGACGCCGGAGGAGCGGAGGAGCGAGCCTGCCAGTGCAACCGCTCATGCCGCCGGTGTGGGAGGACGTTTGAGCTGCCCGGGCTCCTCCGGCGCAACCAGGAGTGCACGCACTGCGGCGATCTCAGCTAGCGTGGGGGCAGGGGGTGGGGAGGGAGGAGCCGGGGGAGCTGGGAGGAGCTGGGGGAGCAGGGAGGAGTGGGGGGGAGCGAGTGGGGGAAGTAGAGATGAGCGGGGGGGGGGCAGCACGGGGGAGGGAAGAGTGCAGGCGGAGGGGGGATGGACAAAGTGGGAGTGATTTTGTTTTATTTCATTGGCCCTAGAGAGATAGCGAGTTGGCGGCCGCCAAATCGACGTTTGGATGGGCGATCCGCTCCCTTCACTTTCGGCAGTCGTACCCGCAGTGGGCCGTTGCTGCGTTGTTCAGCCCTACTGGTCACGAAACGCTCGCTCCGGCCGCCAACGCCAGCCGGCTGAATACGGACAAAAAAAGAGATAAGCTTAAAACTTCCCCGTAGAAGTGGTTCAATCTTAATTATGGAGCTTTCGTGACTGCAGGAATTATTCTCTCTCTGGCTATTTGTTCTCTCTGCATGTGTCCTCTCTTTGGAGGTTTCACACTTAAATTCTAACTTAGCAATCTTTGAGATACGTAATCAACCAGGCTATGCGTTAATTGTGTGTTGACCGACTCTCTGTGTTGTATTACATCACATTTCGATATTTTGCGAGGTTATTTAATTTTAGTGTGCCTTTCTCCTAATTTACAAGCTTGCGTGCCGTGCCACGTCGTCATCTTACTCGCGCAGCAGCAGTACTTTGCCGTCCACTCATTGATATGCTAATTTTCTCTGCCCCCTCCCTCTCTCCGTCCCTGCCCCCCTCTCTAAATTTAAGGGACCGTCACAGAAACGACCCCTCTCTTTGTGCCGATATGTGTCCTCTCTCTGTGTGTCCTTGTGATGTCTGTCTGCTTGTATGTCTGTCTATAGTTTTCTAGTTAGATTTTTTGTTGCTATTTCTTTTTTTTGCCTGATGATGATTGCTTGTGTTGCAATCGAAACGTCGTAATATGCTTTTGTTTTAATTTATTATTTTATCTTTAGACGTGACTTAACCGAAAGAATCAAAGAATAATTCCTGCAGTCACGAAAGCTCCATAATTAAGATTCAGCTCTACATAGTTTTCGACCTTGTGATTGCCCAGGAAGCCACGAACCACTGCGACAAAGTTGTTCCAAGCCGCTTTCTCCTTACTAGTGAGCTTATTGGGGAATTCATTGCATTCCAGGATCTTCTTTATCTGTGGTCCGACGAAGACACCGGCTTTGACCTTTGCCTCAGACAGCTTAGCGAAGAAGTCTTGAAGGTATTCTTTGGTTCTTTCGGTAAAGTCACGTATAAAGAAAAAATAATAAATTAAATAATAACATACGACGTTTCGATTGCAACACAAGCAATCATCATCAGGTATAATGAAATAGCGACATAAAATCTAACCAGAAAAAATTATAGACAGACATACAAGCAGACAGATATCACCAAGATACACACAGCGGGCAACACAGGTACAGAGAGGGGTGATCGTCTCTGTGGGGTGGCCTTAAATAGACAGAGGGGGGCGGAGGCAGCGAGAGGGAGGGGTTAGAGACAAAATTTACATGTCAATGAGTACAACAAAAAGGAGTGAGCAGGCTTAGGGGGAGAAAGAGACACACTAAAATTAAATAACCTAGCAAAGTATCGAAATGTTATGTCTGTCTATAATTTTTTCTGGTTAGATTTTATGTCGCTATTTCATTATACCTGATGATGATTGCTTGTGTTGCAATCGAAACGTCGTATGTTATTATTTAATTTATTATGTTTTCTTTATACGTGACTTTACCGAAAGAACCAAAGAATAATTCCTGCAGTCACGAAAGCTCCAATGTTAAGTCTTGAAGGTACTTGAAGGCTGCTAACTCCTTATCTACAGCTCTGACAAATTGTTTCATAAGGCCCAATTTGATGTGCAGTGGTGGCATCGGCACCTTCTGGGAGTCCACCAGTGGCTCCGACTTGACGTTGTTCCTCCCCACAGAGAACTCGGTCCACTGTGACCAGTCCTGCCTGTGGTAGTGCGCCTTGGTGTCCCTGCTGTCCCAAAGGCAAAGATAGCAAGGGAACTTGGTAAAACCGCCTTGGAGACCCATCAGGAATGCCACCATTTTAACCTCCCAGCCGTACTCATCATACTTGAAGGCATCCAGAAAGGTCTTGATGCTGCTGTAATCATCTTTGAGTTGCACCGAGTGAGCCAGGGGAAGAGATGGGTACTTGTTTCCATTATGGAGCAGCACGGCTTTGAGGCTCCTGGATGAGCTGTCAATGAAGAGGCGTCACTCATTCTGGTTACATGCGATTCCGATTGCCTCAAACAGACTGGTCACATTGTGGCAGAAGCAGAGCCCATCTTGGCGGGTGAAGAAGCTGCAAAAAGGTTGGTGACGTTTCCTCTGATCTGCGACTTGCACACTTTTATCCAACAAGTTCCACTGCTTGAGCCTAGACGTCAAAAGCTCGGCATTGGACTTGGTGAGACCAAGATCTCTGATCAAGTCGTTGAGGTATTTTTGGTTGAGGTAGTATGGGTTTCTCTCTTCAGCTCCACCTCTGAAACTGTCATCTGGATCTACGTCTTCCTCGCTCTGACTTGCTGGCTCTCTTCTAAAGACGGATGCTTTCTCTCCGGAGGAGTGGGTACAGGGAGCTCATGGCAATGTGGTTACCGGGGTGATGGATGAAGGAAGGTCCGGATACGTGATAGCCGGTGCATTCTTGCCACTTCGACGTTTGGAAGGGTCCACCATGCAAAAGTAGTAGTTGCTTGAGTGGTCAGTGGGTTCCCGCCAAATTCTTGGGATAGCGAACTTCATGGCTCTCTTTTCCCCTCTGTACCATCCTACAAAAATACATTTCACCCATGACTAATGTGTAAGAGATTCTCGCAAAGTTTTTCATATATGATATTTTTTCAATAACATTGTAAAACATTTTAAAATTAAAAACTTTTTACAATTTAATTTTTTTTAACAAATTGTTTAACATTAAATTCCGAGAAACAATTGTCCATTTTACCTTCTAGAGTTTTTTTTTTTTATTGCTCGCAGGTGAAATGAGGTGCCCAAGTTTTATCTTGATCCCCGACAGGCATGCCAAAATATGCCTTGTAGGCCTCACACATCTTAGCAGATGCTTCCACAGAGTACTTTTTCGCTCTTGTCTTGATAAATTGGCCGCAGACATAGCAAAATACGTCTGCCGGATGCTTGCAGCCTCTTAATGCCATCTCAGAAAAATGCAGATATGTATCCACTTAGGCAGCTGAAACTAAACTGAACTGGTGGGTTTAAGGCCCTTGTATTTATAGTATGTATATTACTGGAAAGTTCTAGAATGTTCTAGAAGTTACTCCAAGTTTACTCAGCACTGAATCTATCTGGAATGTTCTGGAAAATAGGTCAATTTCAAAATATCACTGTTCTGGTCACAAAAGCAAAGTTTGTGGGGAATCTTGATTTGAAGCTTTCGTGACTGCAGGAATCCATACTCTTTGGTTCTTTCGGTAAAGTCACGTAGGTAGAGAAATAATAGATCACGACGTTTCGATCGCAACACAAGCAATCGTCATCAGGTGGGACAACCACAGCAAGAAAAAACTGCTGAAGTAGGCGAGAAATCTGCCGTTACGACATCTGTCCAGTGGCTGGACGAAGTACCACGTGAAACAAGTGGAATGACAGGGGCGGTAGTGGTCACCATGGGGCAGCAGCAGTACCAACTGTTGGAAAGTTATCACTAAAGGCCTACGAAACAAGTGCCTGGGGCCTACAAGAAGCTTAATCGGGCCCTGAACCTCGCTGTTGGCCTCCACAGCACTGAATTACAGCCGCCCAGCTAAATTATAACGGGTACTCCAATGTTACAATCAGACTCTTGTATTTATACTGGAGGAATCCGATGAGCTATAAAGCTCTTTGTTCAGATGTCCAGTAGGGGGCACGGGGTCAGAACATAACAACAACACAATACTCACAAGCACGATAGGAGTGCAAAGTATAGGAAAGGTAAACAAATAACTTAAAAAAACACAAACTAAAGTAATAAACTATTTTTTTTTCTTAGCAGGTTAGGACCCACTGAGCTGTGTAGCTTCTCTTTTAGAAGCGACCTGGCCTTTACAAATGATAGTTCAACAAAAGTGACTGATATCATCATGTGGAAATGTGTAGCAGCGCGATAATCAAAACTCGAAAGAGTTGACACTTTCAGAAACAGGCACCAAAACAAATGCACGACCAAACCCACGATAAAATTTACGTCTTCACTTTATTTGCAATTACGTCCGTATCCGAGGACTTAAAAAAAGTTTGTCCGTCATTCCACAGGACATCTCTGGAGCAGGATGAATAAAAAAAACTTCAGCAGTCCCCAGGTAATGTTTAAGAGGTCACTTGAAAGGGCTCTTAATGAGGTCTGTGATGTCTCGTTTTCACGGGCCGTTGGCTCACGCACAGTGACGCACTTGCTGTGCGAGACTTCTGAATGGATGCTTCGTCACGTGATGAGTATGCCTAGATAAAAAAACTATAACTTTATCTGGAAAAACTAAATCAAGTCACTCGTTTATGATCAAATGAGCATTGTCTCTCCATAAACCATCATCATGCAAACTCCGGTCATAATCGTAGCAGCGGCTTTTCACTAACCATCGAACAAAGATGATCAACCGCACTTTCAGATGCGCTGCTTCTGCGGCCTTCTGGAATGCTCTTCGTTCCGATATTGGGCCGCCACTGGGAGCTATGCAACTTTTACTGGTTGGAACCTCCTGGTTTTTTCTAAGAATATGGAACCTCCTGGTTACACCAGCCCACAGGGGATTATTGTGTCCGTCCGTCGTGCAGGGAGGGGCTGGGTGGGGAGTGTTGTATGTCTTTTAAAAAAAAATTCATAATAAAAATTAAATGAAGATTGAAAAAATGCGCCATTATCGAAAATTATGCTAAATTATGTAATTATGCTAATTAGGCGGCTAATTTCATTAATTTCTGCGAATGTATGTGCTTATGCTAATGTGGGCAGTTGTGATAATTAGGCTTAGCTTCGTTGTCTAGGGTTGTATTATATCAATCGGGATAATGCAATTATTCATGCTATAGCATTTACTGATTATGCCTAAGTGTGTTTATGTCAGGTCTCCAAATTCAAATCTCAACGCAGGATATAGTTCTTATAAATAAGATTATTAGGCATGAACTCAGGAAGGAAGCACTCTTCTGTGTTAAACAATTTTAATTTTAAACAAAAACATAACACTCTAATATGCGAACTCTCATGCTTGGAATTATCCACAGTATCATCGGGGAATTTTCCCTCGGTGAGCAGTACATTTAACCATCAATGATTGCGTTGTTTCACTGGGCAACCGAACAGTTGATTAATTCCTCCGAGTAACGCGAGCATATACGGCGATAGGGAAAGTCCTTAAAACATGCATGCGACGATATTCATACGAAAGGCAATACAAGCAAATTATGATATGCCGAAGGCAAAGGTATACGTCAATAGATTCATCGGCAAGATTATATAATTAACGAAATGTCTTGGGACAATGGGGTGCGGTGGTGTGTGTCTGCTGACGCAGATACTTAATTTTTGGCTAAGCCTCAATTAATTCTTGGGCAAGATTCGGTGTTCAAAAGAAAGGTTTAACACAATATTCTCCCTTTGAGAGTGTAGATTCGTAACGAAGGTTTCAAAAGTTTAGTTTGCATCGATTAATCTATTGGTAATTTTAAGCGATTAAAAAATAAAATAAAAAGTATATATAACGACTGATGTACTTCTAAACGACCGTATTTTTTTTATCACTCAATGAGCACCAATGTCTTCACGATCAGCTAATGGTTCATGTGTGTATTGTCTCCTTGATAAATGCTTTGTATTAAGCAGACGCCGGGCGCTGCGTCGTGAGCTTGTGAGGGTAGGGGAGGGGCATACGAACAGCGGCTTCTCTCTCTCGCTCTGTCGCCCGGGCGGGTTTGTTGTTAAATGACGAGTCGACGCGACGCTCGCCGTTGGCGGTGCGCAATGATTCCGTCGTCAGACAGCGCGCACAGCTCGTCCGCTGCTGGATGTCCTGGTTCCCAGCTGGTGCAGGTCGGTATGTGTGTTCGAACACACGGCGCTCTCGCTGGCGCGGACACTCTTGCTCGATAGCGCGGCTGGTGCTGTGATGCTGGCTTGGTCGATGTTTGGCGCTTTCCGCCTCTTCTCGAGGACGATGCTGGAATTCTCGTCAGCTCAACTCGAACTGCAGTGGCACGTGGGAGTCGGTACCCAGAGCAGAATGACTTTCGAGCGATACTACTTCTGTTGGTGCTGAACTCGCACTGGGTAACACATTGCTACTCAGCGAGCCTCACCATCCTGGTTGATTGCAGTCTTCTTCTTCTGCTGGATTCCCCTTCTGCTGGCAAGCTTCTGAAATGTATGGGCCGAGTCTCTGATTATATCTGAAAAAAATCTCTCCCCTTGGCACGCCTTCTTACAAAGGACCGGAACCATTCTTTGTGTTAGCTCCCCCCCCTGTGGAAACAGCTGCCGGTGTGTCCGTGTGTGTGTTCTGATTTTATTGGTAATATAAGTTCATCAATGGAAGCAGCTGTCCCAGATTGCCCCCACGTGCGTCCTTTCAGCCCCCTTCCCCCTCTCTTTTATGGGGAGATGTTTTTTGCCTGTGTGCAAATCTTGCTATCACGTGCTGTGGGAAGACAAAGGCGGTTGGGAGGCTCTTTTCCTATGGAGTATATTACATCTTGGTTAGGTCTGATGGACTTAATTCGCCTTTCATTCTCCTGGACGACCCTTGGTCTAATACTTCATAATTATTATTTGGTTTGTGTTTATTCAAGATTTGTGATTTAGCATTGTTATTACCACGTATATTCATAGGGTTTTACTAACCTTCGTTCCACAGCCTGCATTCTGGGTTGCTGTTTGTTCTCGAGTTAGTTTTGGTCAGGTCGCGTAGATAAAGATAAAAATAAATGCCATTAGTATTAAAATAATGAATGGGAAATAATAATCCACTGATGTAGATTGTAGCCTGGTTCTTAATTGGAGTGTGAGGATCGATAATGTTCACTTAATCTTTGTCGCCAAGTTTTGAACTTTTACCGTTGTTAGAAGAAACATGAAAAAAGTTCACCAAAAAAAACGTCTGTTTCGTTATCCTTCGTCGGGGGGGGGGGGGCGGGACGTGTGTGTTGTTCTGATTTTATGACTGGCTCCTTCCGTCGTGGGAGGGGAGGGCGTCACATTCGTCTTTGGAAGTTTTATTGCCACCACATGTTGCTGGGAGACAAAGGCGGTTGGGAGGCTCTTTGTTCCGAAAGGCAGCTGTGGTGATGGTGGTTGTTACAATTTTGTCTTTGCCTCGTGCTACCCCGCGGTTGATTAAAAAATATATATATTGGCCGAATTATTCTTAACATGAATTTTGGAAAAAGGCTCATATATACAACAGGTGGGAGGGGCTGGGTGGGGAGGGGCTGGGTGGGGAAGGTGGGGAGGGGCTGGGTGGGGAAGGTGGGGAGGGGCTGGGTGGGGAGGGGCTGGGTGGGGAGGGTGGGGCTGTGTAGGGGGTGGGAGGGGTGGGGCTGGGTGGGGAGGGGCTGGTCACCCCGTGGTCCCCTTATAAAACTCAACGTTTTACCTACTCATGCCGGCTTGTGCCCGCCCTCACAGTCGGGCATATTTGCGGAATACACCACGCCGCCGTTGACCCTGGCCATTGACCGAGCAACCCAACGTTCCTACCAGCTCCCTCCGCAGGAATGTGTTAAGTCATAATCGAGATTGACAAACTTGTTTCTTGAGAACTGCTTGTTGTTGTTGTTGTTGTGTTTGATTTGTTGTTCTTCTCCCCGCACCTACAATCAGCTATGGTCAGCTATGTACGGCGGTGCAAAAGAGACATTTAACACACATACAGTACATTATGCATTACAACGGAACGGGATGCACACGAAGGTTGAGGATAGTCGGCGCTACCGGTCCGGTCATTTCACGCCAGCTTCTCGTCTCCGTCAGTGGGGTGGGCGAGGGGAGGGAGCGGTCGCTTCCCAGGCACAGCGAGCGTCTCGGGCGCTACTCCCGTTTCCGCGTCGTCGTTGCCGGCTTCTCCGCGGCCGCTCCTCCGTCTCCGCGGCCGCTCCGACGCTCCGACGGCTTCGCAGTAACCCCTCTCCCCCCTTGCTCCTCCAGCCGCCCCCTTGCGCAGGTGGCGCTCCTCGTGTCTGGCCAGCGCCGCCTCCGAGTAGAACGCAACGGGACAGAGCGCGCACGCGTGGCGTTCCCTGCCGCGCGTGTGCTTCCGTTCGCGGTGCCGCCGCAGGTGGCTCTTGCACGAGAACAGCGACCCGCACGTGTCACAGCGGTGCGATCGCTCACTTGCGTGCCGTCGCTCGCCTGCGTGCGCCCGCTCATGCTGCCGGAGGTTGGCCGCGTGGGCGAACGCCCTCCCGCAGTGAGCGCACACGAATGGCCGCTCACCCGTGTGCGTCCGCTCGTGCGCGAGGAGGTGCGAGGGCCGGCGAAAGCAGGCGCCGCAGTGGGCGCACCGGTAGGGGTGCCCGCCGGGGTCGGCCGCATGGACCCGGGTGTGCGCCGACAGGTCGTCGGCGTGGGCGAATGCCTTGCCGCACACGGGGCAGCCGTGCGGGCGCGAGGTCGCGTGGACGCGCGAGTGGCGCCGCAGGTGGGCGGCGCGCGAGAACGCCTTGCCGCACGTGGGGCAATCGTGGAGCCTCGCCCGGGGGGGCGCCTCCGCAGGGCCTCCTCCGTTATCCGTCCCTTCATGCGCCTCCGTCGTCCTCTTCGGTGCGTGTCTCGTCTGGCGGTTATTCGAGACGGACTCACCTTCTGCTGCTGTGGCTTTCCTCTGGCGGTCAGTAGAGACAGGCCCCCTCTCCGCTGCAGCACGTGTCGCACGGCGGTTATTAGGGACGGGCCCCCTCTCCGCTGCAGCACGTGTCGCACAGCAGTTATTAGGGACGGGCCCCCTCTCCACTGCAGCACGTGTCGTACGGCGGTTATTAGAGACGGGCCCACTCTCCGCTGCAGCACGTGTCGCACGGCGGTTACGAGGGACGGGTCCACTTGGTGCCGTGCGTCTCAAGACGGCCGATAGCGCCGACGGCTCCCAGTTTGCCGAACTCTCCTCCTCATCCTCATCGTCGTCATGGTGGGTCCGTAGGTGCCTCTCCAGGTCGCTCTTGAGCCTCGTGCTGTACGCACAGAGGTCGCACTGCAGGGCCTTCTTACGGTGGCGGCGGTGGCTCGAGTGTTGCCACGTGTGGACCTGGAGCCCACGCTCCCGGCTGAACTCCCTGGCGCACACGGAGCAGCGGTGCCTTCCCCGTTCGGCCGTCTCGCCCGCTCCGTTCGACTCTGGTGGCAAAGCAGAAGCCGGGCAGCGTCGTTGTGACATCAGTGACGTGCGAGCGCGCTATCTTAATGAGCCAGTGGTTCTTCTTAACCTGGGGTGCATCATGTACCCTGGGGGTGTGTGATGCCCTTTCTGGGCAAGAGACATGGCCAGATTTTTCTTTATTCGAAGGCCAATCATCGAAAACACAAATTAAGCACGGGGCACATTAAGTTACAACTTACTTGTGTTTCAAATAACCGCTGAGATTTTGTGATCCGTAACCACTCTTGGTTAAAACTAGTAATTGTATTGTGCATATCGAATTGGATATAAAACCGATTGATTCAACCGGATAGCCAGAACCCAACTGTTTTAAGCCCCTCTTGAAACAAGCCCAAACATAATCGGTTTACAGTTGAGTTTTGGGTCAACCCAAACCAAAAGCCACTCCAGTCCCGCTGCCTGGAGGCCGCAAATGGAACGTCGATTTGAAGAGCTGTGCCCCACAGCCTCTGTGCCAGACTCGTTCCCTCCCCGGTGATCCCCCCTCCCGCAAACCTCCCTCCCACCCTCCCATCCTCCCTCCCACCCTCCCATCCTCCCTCCCACCCTCCCGCAAACCTCCCTCCCACTCTCCCACCCTCCCTTCCTCCCCTCTCTCTCTCCCCTCCCCTCCCTCTCTCCCTGCCTACCTACCTCCCTACCTACCTTCATCCACGTGCTCCATCATCTCATCCACGTGCTCCATCATCACCTCCACCTCCACCACATCTGGGAACGCCCGCTTTGCAACTGAACCTCCGGCCCGCAGGTCCTCTCCTCCGTCGTCTCGAAGGTCCTCTTTTTTTATTTGGACGCCCTCCTCTTTAACCCGGGGGAGGTCCAGCACGCTGCCGTCGAGACGCTGCTCCCCCTCTGTACAAATTTCTTCCACCTTAATGCTCGGAGCCTGCCCCGTCGTCCGAGGGCTGCGTCCGTCGATACGGATGTCAAAGTGGAGATCCTCCTGCTTAACGCGCGGCTCGTTTCCACCGCTCACGAAGACCTCCTGTTTAATGGGCGGCTTCTCGCCGCCGACCACGGTGTTCACTGCGTCAGCCTCGAGGAGGCCCTCCTCCTCCTCCTTTTTGATGCGAAGCTGCTCCGGCGGTCGCCTCGTTTCCACCGTGAGCTCCGAAACTTTCCTACCAAGGGCATCCCCGTCGGCCCGGACGTCCTCCTGCTTGACGCCGAGGTCACCGCTCGGCCACGCGTCGCCGTCCCGGCGAGCGCAAAGGTCGTCCGCTTTCGCCTGAAGGTCACCATTGCCATTCTGCGGCTCACCTCCTCCTCCTCCGCCACCCCAGGTGTCCTCCAATTTGATGTGGGGGTCCTCCCCTTCAACAGGGAGGTCCTCTGCTTTAATGTCAACCATGAGGACCTCTCCTCCACCAGAGCTGACGTTCTCTCCGTCGGCCCGAAGCTCCTCCCTTCTTGTCCAAAGCTCCTCCCCTCTCATCTGAAGCTCCTCCCCTTTCATCCAAAGCTCCTCCACTTGCACCAAAGGGCCCCCTCGACCGAGCAAAACCTCCCCTCCCGCAGCTAAGAAGGAATATCTGGAAAAAAGTTACGACGATGTTTATTATTTACTGTCAGAATTATTAAATATTTTACTAATGATATTGAATTTAAAAATGTAGTTACGTAAGCTACCCAGATGAAATCCACAACAGGTTATTTTTTTGGGTTAGCTCGCATAAATATAAATGTGTGTCGTTAAACCCGCCACCACCCGACACAGCCAATAAGTTAAGGCGTTTGTCACACAATCAAAACGTGGCCAATAAGTTGCTAGTACAGCACTAACTGGTTGTGTGTTGGAGAGTAAATCCAGAAGTCTCCCACAGCTAAGATGACAAATCGGAATGATCATATCTCATCTTAGCATAGATTTATACAGCGCCTTGACCAAAGGCGCTTTTCAGAGAGAATTAAGAATGGTGTAAGAACGTGTGCGTGTGTGCGAATGTGATGGTGGTGGGAGATGTGATGAATAAAATGTGGTGTGCGAATCTCTAATGATGCGTGAATTCGGTGAAAGTAAAATTCATGACAGTGGATGATGATGAATTGATCGAATGGTTGAGGTTTAATAAGTGATAGCCATATAGAGAATAATTATTTTGACAGTCAATGATGACGAATAGATTGAATGAATGGGGTTAATGAGTGATAGCCATATAATGAGAACATGAAGAGGGAATAGTAGTGGTGTTGGTTATGGGGGAGATCTCTGGACGTCGTGGGGGTGAGCTAGGGAACTAGAAAAAGCACACCAATCACTGCCCCACAGACCTTCAGGCCATGCTTCCACCCCCATATAAAAAACGCTTCGCCACCCAAGTACAGTGACTCCTCTACTTACGAACATTCGACTTACAAACTTTCAGAGATACGAACAAACATGTCCTTATGTCGAGTTGCCTGCACGGACCGAGAGCTATGAGTTCAACTGCCGCGCAATAGACGGCGGTGGCATCTACATCTGCAGAACATGAAGAGGCAGTGGCATCTAAATCTAAGGAAGATTTTCCAACTTTTAAAGCCATTCCCCCTGTTGAGTGTACATGCCGTACAACACGTTTGTAATCGACAGGAGTCAAGTTGGACTTCCAACAAATTGACTTACGAACAGCACACCGGTGTGTTGGAGAATAAACCTGCAACACCTATAATTGTAAACTAGCAACGAATTGTCACGTTTTATTTATGTGACAAACCTTACTAATTGGCTGTCGGGTGGTGGCGGCGTGTTTAACGACACTTTTGTATATTTACGCACTCTAACCCAAAAACCTTTTATGGATAATATTGGTCACGAAAGCCGTGTTAAACTGATCATAGAACTCATCCGAAGTTGCTTCAAAATCATTGTTTACACACTGCTGCACAGGGGTGTCATGCTCGAACCCGTTCTCGCAACCACAACCCTGGCGCTAACCCATAGCCCGAACTGGGTTCATGGGTTCCAGCGTGGGTGAGCGCACGGGTTTGAGCATGGGTTCGTCTGTCCCTACCCCTGAGCGTATGTGTGTATGTATGTTGAACTTATTTCACACTGTACATAACCAACCATAGCTAATCGGAGCGTGCGGGGGAAGGACAACAAATTAAACACAAAAAGCTGTTCTTCAGAAATTACTTTTCAATGTAGTATAGTGGTGTAGTGTTTAGTAGTGTAGTAGAGTAATCCCTCGCCACTTCGCGGTTCAAGTTTCGCGGCCTCAGTGCATCGCGGATTTTTCAAAAATATTTATCGAAAAAAAAAAATTCAAAAATACCGCCATATCGGCAGCCGTATTGCGGAAAGCAGCGTTGTTTCATCGTGATGCGCGAGAGAAACGGTTTCCCAGGTTGCCAGACAAAGAGAAACTCTCTCAGAGGCTTTGTACATACCCACGGGCACTCAGACAAGGCACGTGATTGGTTCCCGGCGCGAGATCGACGAATGAGAGCACGAGTGGATGTATCCCGTGAGCTGATTGGCTGCGCATCAACGTTGTCATCGTCGTCATTACTGGAGTCAAGTCTCAAGATACTACTGTCATTGGTGAGTGTAGAACACCATAATACGTATCGTATGAGAGAGAGTGTATAATATTAAGGTTTTATAATTAAATAGATTTAAGTAAAATATATATATATAAAGTATAAATATACATATTTTAAACATTCTGGTACCCACACACACATATACGGAAATTCCTAGGGGGCCAATCCTACTTCGCGGATTTTAACCTATCGCGAGGGGTTCCGGTCCCCATTAACCGCGATAAACGAGGGATCACTGTATATACCAAAATAAACAGAGATCCCACCAACTGACTAGCTACTAAAACCAACAATATCATCACTAAATCGACTTCTCTAATCGATCAGACCAAGCAGAGCTGCCTAAAACCTTCGGCTGCTAGACCACCCAGATTTTATGGCCTTCCAAAAATCCACAAAGAAGGTACCTCGCTCCGTCTTATCGTCTCCACGATTAACTCACCTACAAACTGGCCCGATTTCTGTCTGAGACTCTGCTTCCTTTCACTGGCAAGTCCACCTCAGCTGTACTTAACTCAGTTCACTTGGTTTATCTAATCAAGGACATCTCACTCTCTCCGGATGATTTGCTTGTCAGTTTCGATGTCGTTTCTCTGTTCACCAATGCACCTGTACTTGACACCATTGCAATCGTTGAACACTTGGTCCAACAGGGACTGAATGCAGATGTACCAACTTTGGTACGGCACTGTCTTACCAACACATACTTCACCTGGAATGGTACATTCTACAGACAAGATGAGGGTACCCCAATGGGTTCTCCCTTATCGCTAGTGGTAGCGAATGTTTTCATGGAATATTTTGAGATAGATGCCATCCAGACATCCACCCTACATCATTCCTTGTAGAAGAGATACGTAGATGACACGTTTGTCATCTGGCCACATGGTCTTCCAGCACTGAACCAATTTCTCAACCACATCAATTCCATACACCCGTCTATCAAATTCACTATGGAAGTGGAAAAGGATGGGAAGCTACCATTCCTGGATGTAGTGATCGAGAAGAGACCTGATGGCTCGTTGGGACATTCAGTCTACAGGAAAGCCACCCACACGGATGCCTATCTAAAGCCTGATTCCCACCACCATCCAGCCCAGAAGAATTCAACGACCAGCACCACCTAGCTAGTGAGTTGGAGCACGTACACCAAGCCCTCAGGATGAACGGATACTCGGACCGTACTGGAGTGAGTGAGTGGTTGTAGTGAGTGAGTGGTTGTACTGAGTGGTTGTACTGAGCGAGTGGTTGTAGTGAGTGAGTGGTTGTAGTGAGTGAGTGGTTGTAGTGAGTGGTGGTTGTACTGAGTGAGTGGTTGTAGTGAGTGAGTGGTTGTACTGAGTGAGTGGTTGTACTGAGTGAGTGGTTGTAGTGAGTGAGTGGTTGTAGTGAGTGGTTGTAGTGAGTGGTTGTACTGGGTGGTTGTAGTGAGTGGTTGTACTGGGTGGTTGTAGTGAGTGGTTGTACTGGGTGGTTGTAGTGAGTGGTGGTTGTACTGAGTGGTTGTACTGAGTGAGTGGTTGTAGTGATTGGTTGTACTGAGCGAGTGGTTGTAGTGAGTGAGTGGTTGTAGTGAGTGAGTGGTTGTAGTGAGTGAGTGGTTGTACTGAGTGAGTGGTTGTACTGAGTGAGTGGTTGTACTGAGTGAGTGGTTGTACTGAGTGAGTGGTTGTAGTGAGTGAGTGGTTGTAGTGAGTGGTTGTACTGAGTGGTTGTACTGAGTGGTTGTAGTGAGTGGTTGTACTGGGTGGTTGTAGTGAGTGGTTGTACTGGGTGGTTGTAGTGAGTGAGTGGTTGTAGTGAGTGGTGGTTGTACTGAGTGGTTGTACTGAGTGAGTGGTTGTAGTGAGTGGTTGTAGTGAGTGAGTGGTTGTAGTGAGTGGTGGTTGTACTGAGTGAGTGGTTGTACTGAGTGAGTGGTTGTTGTGAGTGGTTGTAGTGAGTGAGTGGTTGTACTGAGTGAGTGGTTGTAGTGATTGGTTGTACTGAGTGGTTGTACTGAGCGAGTGGTTGGAGTGAGTGGTTGTAGTGAGTGAGTGGTTGTAGTGAGTGAGTGGTTGTAGTGAGTGGTTGTAGTGAGTGGTTGTAGTGAGTGGTTGTAGTGAGTGAGTGGTTGTAGTGAGTGGTTGTAGTGAGTGAGTGGCTGTACTGAGCGAGTGGTTGTAGCTACGCACCTGGCGATCTGAGTAATGGGGGTGGGGGTCTCGCGCTGGGGGGGGGGGGGGGGAGTCACGTGGTGAGTCGGCAACCCCGAAGCGACGCGGAGCGGCTTGGTGCAGGCTAAGCCGCCTCACTCGGATGCAGCGAGCCGCACACAAAGGCAAAGCTCCCCCGTGTAGCCTCTAGCAGGCTGCGGTGGCAAGTGCTGTGCGTAGCGAGTCGCAGCGCCTATGAAGTTGGCAAAAGGGCAATTGTTTCTTGCTGTGGTTGTCCCACCTGATGACGGACGCTTGTGTTGCGCCCGAAACGTAATTTAATTTCTACCTACGTGACTTTACCGAAAGAACCAAAGAGTATGGATCCCTGCAGGCACGAAAACGTCAAATCTAAGTTGGAAGCTCTACGTCTGAAGATGCACCAACACGTGGCCGGGGACCTGAGTGAGGGTCCGACCCTTCGTAGCGGTAACTCCTCTGTGCAGTGTAGTTAGCTGGGTGGTCACCACCCTCGGCTGTATCTGGCAAAGGGGCAGTTACCCCTTTGTGTATTTACGTGTTACAATAAATGTGTTGCCTCTCACGCATAACGTGTGCGACTCTGTTGGCCTCACTACACTTGCATCGCCTTTCTACTGTTCGCCTTTTGTCATTGTTGGTGAGACAAGGCCATGCAGGAGGCAAATGAGTTTGAAATACAATGCGTTCATCATCATTATTAGTATGAGAATGTTTGTTTGGATGTTTTTCCACAAGTTATATGTTGTGGTTAATGCGGACTTGATTCCTTGCAAAGGGTAATGAAGCCTATTCTGATTGTTTCATCAAAGTTTTCATTTTGTGAAACATAATCGACAAACTACTCACCCTCTCACTCACTCACCCACCCACGTACTCACTCACCCACCGACTCACTCATTCAGTCACTCGTCCACTCATTCATACACTCACGCTCCTGCTTACCCACCCACTTACTCACCAACTTATCCACCTACTCACGTACTGACTCACTCACCCACCCACTCATTCACTCACTTACTCACCCACTCCCTCACCCACTCAGTCCCCACTCGCTCACCCACTCACCTACTAATTCACTCACTCACCCACTCATTCACTCAATCATTCACACACCCACGCACCTATTCACCCACCCACTCACTCACCCACTCACTCACTTTCTGACTTACCCACTCACTCACCCACTCACTCACCCACTCAATCACTCACACACCCACGTACTCACCTACTCACCCATCCACTCACCACTCACTCAAAGACAAAGATCCCCGTATAGCCTTAACAGACTGTTGGGGCAAGTGCTGTTAGTGAACACCTATCAACGCCGGTACGACACACGAGGAGATGGGTGGCCAGCACCATGCCCGGCCGCCTTTGTCTCCCCAGTGGTGATGTGTTCACACCTCACCAGGTACTTATTTGAGGCTGAGTCGACCTAGGGGATGCCCAGGTACCAGCTCAGATAATCGCGCCGTGATTGGTGGCCGTGAGCGGGAATCGAACTCGGGTGTTTTTCCAGGTTCGTAGCGCTAACCGCTGCACCACCGCTCCCGTACCCCCACTCACCCCTCCCCCACTCCCCCCTCCCCCACTCTACTCCCCCCACTCACCCCTCCCCCCGCTCACCCCTCCCCCACTCACCCCTCCCCCACTCACCCCTCCCCCCACTCACCCCTCCCCCCACTCACCCCTCCCCCCACTCACCCCACTCCCCCCACTCACCCCTCCCCCACTCACCCCTCCCCCCACTCACCCCTCCCCCACTCACCCCTCCCCCCACTCACCCCACTCCCCCCACTCACCCCTCCCCCCACTCACCCCTCCCCCCCTCCCCCCACTCCCCCCACTCACCCCTCCCCCCACTCACCCCTCCCCCCACTCACCCCTCCCCCCACTCACCCCTCCCCCCACTCACCCCTCCCCCCACTCACCCCTCCCCCACTCACCCCTCCCCCCACTCACCCCTCCCCCCACTCACCCCTCCCCCCACTCCCCCCACTCACCCCACTCCCCCCACTCACCCCTCCCCCCCCTCCCCCCACTCCCCCCACTCACCCCTCCCCCACTCCCCCCACTCCCCCCACTCACCCCTCCCCCACTCCCCCCACTCACCCATCGAGGCCCTGCGCTCAAATCGCCGCGGACCCTGGAGTGAGAATTCACTTCCGCCTCAACGCCTTCACCTCGATTCACGCCGAGTCTCACGGTCTCACGGCGAGTCTCACGGGTGTCTCACGGTGAGTCTCACGCCGAGTCTCACGGTGAGTCTCACGGACTCACGGCGAGTCTCACGGTGAGTCTCACGGGTGTCACGGTGAGTCTCACGGTGAGTCTCACGGTGAGTCTCTGAGTCTCACGGTGAGTCTCATCTCACGGCGAGTCTCACAGTGAGTCTCACGGTGAGTCTCATCTCACGGCGAGTCTCACGGTGAGTCTCTGAGTCTCACGGTCTCACGCCGAGTCTCACGCCGAGTCTCACGCCGAGTCTCACGGGTGAGTCTCACGGTGAGTCTCTGAGTCTCACGGTGAGTCTCTGAGTCTCACGGTCTCACGCCGAGTCTCACGCCGAGTCTCACTGGTGTCACGGCGAGTCTCACGCTGAGTCTCTGAGTCTCACGGTGAGTCTCTGAGTCTCACGGTGAGTCTCTGAGTCTCACGGTCTCACGCCGAGTCTCACGCCGAGTCTCACGGGTGAGTCTCACGGTGAGTCTGAGTCTCACGGGTGTCACGGCGAGTCTCACGCTGAGTCTCGTCTCAGGGTGGGTCTCGCGGCGAGGCTCACGGTGAGTCTCACGGTAATTCCTTCGTTATTCACAGATTTGCTATTCGTGATTTTGGCTGTATCTGCGAATCATATCTAGAACTCAATACGACTGCTGCATCTCGAGAGAAAGAAGTGGTGAGAGACAAAGTGATTAGATGTATAATAAAAAACATTTATTACCATTAACGTAATGATAATACATCCAAAGTTCATTACACTGACACTTCGTATTCCGAATCTTCGCCTTTTGGTAGTAGTATTGCACAGAACGGCACCCGGCTGAAATCGGAAGGCACAGCTCCAAATCCAGAGCAATCGAGGGTCACCGGCACGGCCGCTGGCAACCGGGCAATGTTACTCACCGCAGAGAACCGCAGGAGACACGACCGCCGCCACGACGCGATAGCCGGCGCCACAAAATGTGGCACACTGCAACCCTCCCAGGCGCGGCCCTTTTAAATTCCGATTCCGTTCCGATGGCGCCCAGAACGCGTACTGATGATGTGCAAGTACGTCATCGAAACGGAATTATAAAATACAACCAATGGTGTATAAGTATGAAACATAATAATGGGTATTTTGTAGCTTTCGTGACTGCAGGAATTACTCTTTGGTTCTTTCGGTAAAGTCACGTATATAAAGATAAAATAATAAATTAAATAATAGCATAGTATGCTATTATTTACCGAAAGAACCAAAGAATAAGAATGGGTGTTTTACCCTTTCTGGCAATAAACAAAGAGATGTGTTAAGACGTTCAAACACCAAATGGATGATACCTTTTGCAAGGCATCACGTCTGCATTAACTCCACACGCTACTTGTGGTGAACATGCAAACAAACATGGCTCTGATACTAATCTACGCATTGTCTTTGAAACTGACTGGCCTACACCAGAGACAACGGCCTTCTTCATGCCCTAGTCTCACCAGCAGTGTCAGACCAGATAACGCCAAAAGTCTTTGTACCGACGTACGTCATCTGAATGGAATCGGAACTAAAACTGATGACGTACGCTGCACGGCATGTTTGCGTTTGATGTCTGTCATTGGAACTGAATCGGAATTAAAGCTGATGACGTAGGCTGCACGGCATGTTTGCGTTTGACGTACGTCATGGGAACGGAATCGGAACTAAAGCTGATGATGTAGGCTGCACGGCATGTTTGCGTTTGATGTCTGTCATGGGAACGGGAAAGGGTTAAGAAACGTGCCGGACTGTTTTTTTTTTCTTCGGTGTCATGGTGCGCCACTCGCCCGTCTGATTCATTGCGTTTGAATTTCGGCAGCCACTGCCACCGCCACCACCGGCTTGCGATGTCCAACGCCGGCTCCTCCGCCGTTGCCGCCGCCACCGTTTCCGCCGCCGGGCAACCTCCGGCGAAGAAGACGAAGTTCACAGGTGCCCACCGCTACCGCACCAAGTTCAACGCCGATTGGACGAGCCGCTACCCGTTCATCAGCGCCGTGAGGGGCGAGCCGTGCCTCTACCGCTGCGGCGTCTGCGCCAAGGTGCTTTCCTGCGCCCACCAGGGCGAGACGGACGTCAGGAGGCATGTGGGCAGCGACAGCCACGCCAAGATGGTGATCTCGCGGGGCGGGCAAGGCGGCGGCAGTGGTCATGGCCTTCCGGAGACCGCGTTCGTGACGCCCGTCTCGTCGGACCTCAAGGAAGAGGTGAGAGGGAAGGGAGGGCGGGAGGGATGTCGTAGGAAGTTAAAAAAAGGGTCGGAGGACCGATGTTTCGCGTGGTTTTTGCTGCAAGTTCGTGTGGTTAATGCGCACTGCTCAACCCCTGAGCTGTGAATGCTCTGATAGTTACATTTCCTTTGTGCTGTTCGCCTTTTGGCGGTCTCTGGTCTGACACCGGTGGTGAGACAAGGCCATAAAGAAGGCTGCTGTCTCTGGTGTAGGCCCATCAGTTTCAAAGACAATGCGTGCATTATTATTATAGGAGCGTGTTTTGCCACGAGTTACGTGGTGAATGCAGACTTGATGCCTCGCAATAGGTGTGTCAATTTGGTGTCTGAACATCTGAACACCCTCTCTATCATTGGATGAAAGAGTAAAAGCTATTCTTATTTTTGTCATGATGATACTGGCAAAAGGGTCCCAAAGATATAACTGCGCTAGCCGAGCGATAGGTGCTCTGATACTTGTGTAGTGTTGTATATATTGACGAATACACTTCTTATGAGGCAACACGATATTTTATTGTCTCTACTACACGGTCCCTAACACAAAGGGTGTATCGGTCCCTTTAGCCGATACCTGGGGAGGTATGGCCCCCGGACTATACGGGACCTATCACTGGGTAACCCGTTCCCTATAGTCCTCCGGCTGGGACCTAGGGGAGGCTATCTGACCCGACCTCCTGGTTCGTGGGTCCTGACCACTGGCTTCACTGAGCTCCGGCCCTTAGAAGGACAGCGGAGCTTGGGGTCCAGGGTCCTATTCTCCAGCCCGATCTTCAGTCTTCAGCGTGTAGATAACTGAGCCAGAGCTCTGAGAGCTGTGGATTCGTCTAATTACGAACGAGTCAGGTTCCAAAGGTCTGTTCGTGAGTCGATTTGTTTGTGAGTCCAACTTTACTCCTGTCGATTTCAAACATTGTACAGCATGTACACTATGTACGGGGAATGGCTTTAAAAGTTGTATAATATCCTGTAGTTGTTGATGCCACTGGTTCTTCACGTTCTGTAGATGTAAGATGCCACTGGTTCTTCATGTTCTGTAGATGTAGATGCCACTGGTTCTTCATGTTTTGTAGATGTAGATGCCACTGGTTCTTCACGTTCTGCAGATGTAGATGCCACCACCGCCATCTAATACGCGGCGGTTGAACTTACGACTCTCGGTCCGAACAGGCAACTGGACACATGACACCGGATTGTTCATTCTTCTGAAAGTTCGTAATTCGAATGTCCCTAAGTAGAGGGAGTCTCTGTATCACCAAAAAAAAAACCGGACGTAAAATATTTAGAGAATGCCATCTCCATCGCAGCCCCAAGAAGAGGAGATGCTGTCTTGTTGCGAGGAGGAGGAGGTGCCGCTGCCGCTGGAGGCGACCGGCGACGGCAGCGGCTTCCCGGCGTGGCTGGAGACGCAGGGCGTGAGCGCCGAGGTAGCCCGCGCCCTCGACTCGGAGCTGGGCATCCGCGACTACGGCCTCCTGCGCGCCTGCGTGGACGACGGGAGCGTGCGAGCGGAGCTGCTGGCCGCCGCTCGCCACCGCCTGCCCTTCGGGTTCTACGCGGCGCTGAGGCGCGCCGTGAAGGCCCTGCGACAGCCCGACGATGAAGACGGAGCAGGAGGAGGAGTGGAAGGAGGAGCGGAACGAGGGCGAGCAGGAATCGCGGGAGGAGGAGCGGGAGGAGAAAGAGTGGAAGGAGGAGTGGAAGGAGGAGCGGGAGGAGACGCCGCAGGGGCGACGCTGCTGGGAGGCCTCGTGGAGGCGCTCCTCGCGCTCTTTGGCGGCCTCAGCCGCGAGCTGCTACTCTCCGCGGAGCGCCTGGGGGCGCTGTACGGCCATCGGTGCGCCCCGGATGGCGGCGCTGTGAGCCCCGGGGGCGGCTGCGACGTGGAGTGGCACACGGAGCACGGTGAGTTAATGCTCGATTGCATACATATAGTAGTGTGTAGTAGTGACTAGTGTAGTGTATAGTAGTGACGAGTGTAGTGTATAGTAGTGTAGTGCATAGTCGTGAGTAGTATAGTGTATAGTAGTGTAGTGTATAGTATATGTATGTTGAACTTTTTTTGCACCATACGTAGCCAACCCTACCTGAGCGGAGGTGCGGGGGGAAGGACAACAAACCAAACACAAAACAGTTCTGTAAAGAAGTGAGTTTGTCAATCTAGATGATGATTTAAAAGTTGCATAAGCCTGGTCATCAATCGCTGTACATGACAAACAAAAAAATGTAGTTTTGTAAATGTGGTTTTCCCGTTTCCGGAGAATAGAAAAGTCTTGCGTATGGACTAGCGCAGGGCGAGGGGTGGTGAGTAGCGCAGACAGTCAGATGTAGGCAACTCCGGACCTCAGGAACTTTCCTCGTCATCACTCGAAGTCACGCCGCAAGCCCTTTTGGACCCAAGCGCTTAACCGTAAACAATGTGAATTCAACCCCAATGAAGCCTGCAGAGCTGAATGGAGTTCAAAAAAACTCGTAAACAAACATATCTTGTGAAATACCCAACACAGAAGATGATCTGTAGGGGCAAGTGCTGTTAGCGAGCACCTATGAAGGTTGGCACTGTGGCACACAAGGGCGGTAAGTGACCAATACCATGCCAGACCGCCTTTGTCTCCCAGTTGTCGATGTTTACACACCGCACTGGGTACTCATTTGAGGCAGAGTCGACCTAGGGGAGGCCCAGGAATGGTTCAGATAATCGCTATCGCCGGTGTTGGCCATGAGCGGGAATCGAGCTCGGGTCGCCGGGTTCATAGCGCAGTCATGCTCACAGCGACCAACACTACTGCTCACCGCAATCAGTCACTTGGATCACACGCAAGCAGAATCATCACCACAATCAGTCGCTTGGATCACACACACGCAGAATCATCGCTGCAATCAGTCGCTTGGCTCACACGCACGCAGAATCATCACCACAATCAGTCAGTTGGCTCACACTGACGCAGAATCATCACCGCAATCAGCCGCTTGGTTCACACGCACGCAGATTCATCACCACAATCAGTCACTTGGCTCACACCCACGCAGAATCATCACAATCAGTCAGTTGGCTCACACGCACGCAGAATCATCACCGCAATCAGTCACTTGGCTCACACGCACGCAGAATCATCACCGCAATCAGCCGCTTGGTTCACACGCACGCAGATTCATCACCACAATCAGTCGCTTGGATCACACGCACGCAGAATCATCCCCACAATCAGTCACTTGGCTCTCGCTCACGCAGAATCATCTCCGCAATTAGCGGCCGTCCATAAATGACGTCAAGCATCTGGGGGGGGGGGAGGGGGTCAGACATTTGTGACAATGTGTGACGAGGGAGGGGGGGGGGGTGAGAAATGTGACGTCACATCAAAATGCGCAACTTTAAATAAATATAGACAACATGTTCTATTTAATTAGATAGACTTTTTAATACATGTTTTCTCCTACAACATCAGAGTACGCACTACAATGACAATAGTTTAAAGCGATTTGAAGCATGTTTTTTTTTTGGGGGGGGGGAGCTTTGTGACGTCATATTTCAGGGGTGGTTTGACTTTTTGTGACGCCGTGTGACGAGGGGGGGGGGTAAAAAATCCTCCAAAATCGCGTGACGTCATTTATGGACGGCCCCTTAGTCAGAATCATCAGTGCGGAGAGAGAGAGACCACTCAGTTGATGCCGTGCATCCGGCTTTTGTTGCAGAGGAGGTGGGGGAGGCTCCGACGCATGAAATCTTGGAGGCCGATCCCAGGTGGGAGACGATGGCGGTGAAGATGGAGGCGAGCGGAGGTATTTTATTACGCGCTTTTATTGAACTCGCTCTGTCTGTTGTTGTCATTCTCGTATCCGCAAATCTTGTAACTAAATTTTTACCCACTTCCCAATGTGGTATCGACTGCAAACTTGGTATACTTATGTCATTCTGATGACAAAACTATATTCTATCATAAAAAAGTATATATATATTTTAAACATTCTTTTTTAAATGTTATGTTTCGCCTGGGGTCTAATTGTCCACGCTCAACTCACGTTGGCTGTAAATCATCACGGCCCCTTACGTTATGGCAAGCCTCGGGGCCACTTCCTGGAGTCGTGGAGTTCTGCCATTACTCGTACGGTACATTTCATGTAAGCGTGTTTTTAAAAAGTATTTTTTAAATATTACTTATTTTTCTATTGTTCAATCCTCCTGCTAATTTTTGTTCATACAGCGCTTGAAACACAACAGATCAGTTATCTATAACTGCATTTAGACTTTTTTCAAGCGGTTTGATGGCATCCGGGGTCAGCGGATGGATTCCATTTTGCACGTCCCTGAAGACGAACGTTGATCTGTGCGATGCGGGCGATGGATTGCACTTCACCGCAGTCACAATCAGGCGTTTCCTCAACCCCACACTTTATAGAGACGGTAGCCGCACCAGACCCCACCTCCGATGTGTAGATCTAACACGGTTGAGTGCAGTTCCTGGTGGGATATGTGAATGGATGTGCCGAGGTGCCGAGGTGCCGAGGTGACATCACCCTCGCCAGGTGTGCAGGAGGTCGTGGGTTCGATCCCGAGCCCGACGCCAGTATATTTGGGGAGCAGCGGCTCATGCACGGTTAGGGAGCAGCGGCCCAGGCAGGCCCAAGGAGCAGCAGCTCACGAGTAGCTCAGACAGGCAGCTGGGTCAAGTAGCTCAGGCAGGCAGGAAGACCACTCAGGCAGGTAGACGGCTCGGGCATACAGGCAGGCATGGTCCAGCGGTTGCAGAGATTCGTGTTGAAGTGTCCGCAGCGAGCTTCAAGCAGTGGACGAGGGTGAGCTGCTCGGAGCCGCCGCTCGACATTACGAGCGAGGAGAGCCACACGACGGGTGCGCGCGGTTCACAACAGCGGGGCAGCGGTGACGATGACGACGACGACACTCGCAACGTTGATTTCGCGGGAGCCGGTGTGCCCCGCTGCCTGACTAACGCAGTGCGCAGGCAGTCCCCGTTGAACGCGGGAGGAGATAAGTTCCTGGAAAGTGATGCGTTGAGTGAACAAGAAAGGCGTGGAGCGATCAGCCCAGTTTCCACGTAAATAATTTGACGGTAGAGTTTGGCGAGATATGGTGTTTTACGCACACCGCGCAGTGGGACAGCGGGAGAAATTACTGAGGGTACGTCGCCGCGTTACTATATCGCTGTGCCGCTCAGCCGCCGCGGTATAACGGTGTGTGTACCGCGTTGTCACGGTGTGTGTACCGCGTTGTGGCGGTGTGTGTACCGTGTTGTAGCGGTGCATGTACCGCGTTGTAGCGGTGCGTGTACCGCGTTGTGACGGTGCGTGTACTGCGTTGTAGCGGTGTGTGTACCGCGTTGTCACGGTGTGTGTACCGCGTTGTGACGGTGTGTGTACCGTGTTGTGGCGGTGTGTGTACCGCGTTGTAGCGGTGTGTGTACAGCGTTGTGACGGTGTGTGTACCGCGTTGTAGCGGTGTGTGTACCGCGTTGTGACGGTGTGTGTACCGCGTTGTGACGGTGTGTGTACAGCGTTGTCGCGGTGTGTGTACCGCGTTGTGGCGGTGTGTGTACCGCGTTGTAACGGTGTCTGTACCGCGTTGTAACGGTGTGTGTACCGCGTTGTAACGGTGTGTGTACCGCGTTGTGGCGGTGTGTGTACAGCGTTGTGACGGTGTGTGTACAGCGTTGTGACGGTGTGTGTGTACCGCGTTGTAACGGTGTGTGTACCGCGTTGTAACGGTGTGTGTACCGCGTTGTAACGGTGTGTGTACCGCGTTGTGGCGGTGTGTGTACAGCGTTGTCGCGGTGTGTGTACCGCGTTGTGACGGTGTGTGTACCGCGTTGTGGCGGTGTGTGTACCGCGTTGTGGCGGTGTGTGTACCGCGTTGTAACGGTGTACCACATTGTGACGGTGTACCGCGTTGTGACTGTGTGTGTACCACGGTATAACGGTGTGTGTGCCGTGTTATAAGTGTTCTGCGTTCCGATAAAAGTGTTCCCTAATGGAAGAATCTCTTTATAGCGAAAAACACGTTCAAGTGTGAGCACAGCCACGCGTTAAGCAAGGACTTTGTTCATCTCGTCAAACTTGTGCGGCCCAACAAACGCTCGCATTTACGCACGAATTTCATACATTGCGCAGTTAACCAATAATTTAAGTGCATTGCACCACACAAGAACGGATTTGTTAGCGTGCATAAACAAGTGAGCTTATCATCGTCGTTGTTATGTTGGATTTCTTCTCTCCTCTCCCCAGACCTGCATCCCTGGATGCTTTCTGCTTCTGCGCAGCGGCTGCCTCCCAAACGGGAAGAGAAGCCGCGAGGTAAAACGCTTAGCGAGGTGGACCCGTGGGAGACCCTGGGGATACAGTCGATTATACGCAGTCGATCGTCGATTATCCGGAGGATAATCACCAATCATTATTTATAACAGTTTAATTTAGCACATTCTTGTACAACGTTATGTTAGTAGACGTTGTGTGTGGTTTTTTTTGTGTTTTTAATTTGTTTGCGATGTCAAATTTGTCGTAAATAAACGTACAAATAGACACAAATTAACATCCTACTGTTAAAAGTTGCTTCATTTACTGCACCCTACCTACCACTCCAATCACGAAGAGTCTGCATCACGGTGTGATGTAGTAAGTAGTACTTCTCCGCTCTTGCGTGTTTGACGATCGCCGGACTGATGCGGACACCGAATTGCACGGCGCACTTTTCGCCGCATGGCGAAAAGTCACGCAAAATGTGTATATACGTGCAGTACTTTCACTGTTTAAGTTGTACGTACGGTTGTGTTTAATGTACCGTATTTACAATATTTGACACTGGAATCAAGCGCATAGCAACTTTTTTGTCACATGCACACACACGGTGGTGCCAATGGCCGGACTGGTTACAGCCCGGGACCACCGGATAATCGATACTATGTCTGCGTATATGTGTAGTATTCTTGAATGAGACCGACACTTCGTAGAGGCCACACGCTTTTATTCCGATAACACTAGTCCTCAGGACTCACTGGGGGAACAGTCCCACACACACGACCTAGGGAGGTACAGCCTCCGGCTCTATTCTCATTTCTCTCCTTCCCTAGCCTCCAGCTACTCTGTTACTCTCTTCCCTAGCCTACAGCTACTCAGCTACTCTCTTCCCTAGCCTACAGCTACTCAGCCCACTCAGTTCCAGCGGGGCGGCATCCTCGAGGCTTGGGGGTCCAGGATCTCCGGCTCTCCTCCTTCAGCTTCTCCTCCGATCGACCCCTCCGCTCTCCGGGAGCCGTCTTATATATCCCCTCTCTCTGAGGGGCGGGGGTGTCTCGGGCCCTGGCTCTCGCCAGCCCCCTCCCCTCAGAGCCGTTCCAACCACCTCTCGTCCCTGTCGATCCGGGCCGGTCCAGACCGGTACGTACCTCTCCCCTAGCTTGTGTGACCTGTGTGACCTGTGTCAACCTTGGTGTCAACCTTGACCACCACATCACCCCCCCCTATACAGCACGCAGCCGTCCCGGCTGCATCACTATCCACATCCCAACCCTAACTCGCGAACCAGGAATTCTGAACACGACAAGAACAATGCGTGAGCCTCAACACAACAATAACAACAACAGAACAACAACAACACAACTATCCCCGATAATTTACCCCAACCCCCCTGTACACAAGAACACCGCGGACACACCACACCAACGAACAAGGTGACTCGAACACCCAGGCCCCGTGAGGAGGCAGTGTATCTGCGACAGGTCTCAGGAGAACCTGAGACCCTTCGAACGAGTCCGTGTGGCGGGTCCATCGCCAGAAGCCAGCGTTCCTTGCGGAGGGTCAGGAGGGGCCAGATGACGGGCGTCCGGCACGTTTCGAGGCCCCGGGGACACAGCCCGCGAGCCGTCTTCCTGCTGGACAGGCGGCCGGCTCGCTTCCCACTCCTCTGGCGAGACCACCCTAGGTGGACTCACACCTGCAGCATCCGAAAGAGTGGCAGGGGGTTTTGGAACAACAAGGGGGTCACGAGGCCCCTCCCCCAACCTGCCGGACACGTCACGCGGCCGGCCCCTGCGAGATGAAGGTGTGTGAGTGCGTGGTGCGACATAGGGCTTCAGGCGCGAGGGGTGCACGTACCAAGAACGCCGTCCGCACGCGACCCTAACACACTGGTCCCGAACGACCCGAACAATGTCGACCGGCCCCCGCCAGGGCCGCAGCAATTTCGATGACGTCGACAGCGGCACCTGCGGGCAGTGCAGCCACGCCTTATCCCCTACCGCCCATCTATACACCGTAACCCGGCGATCATACAGACGCTCATTGGCCCGTTGCCTTGCCCTGGAATTTTCCTGCGCGGCCACCCTCGCCTCGACCAACTTCCGAATATTGAACTGAGCGTGTTCGGACAGTTTCGAGCGAGAAGCCGCAGACTGGACCCGCAATTGCACCTCCACGGGGGGGTCGACTTCCCTGCCGTACATTAAGTAGAAGGGCGAATAGCCCGTGGCCGCGTGAGGCGCTAACCTATATGCGGCCAGAACTCCGGGAATCTTCAGGTCCCAATCCAACTGTGTGTCGTCTACCTGATGACACAACATAGAGGTAATGGTCCGGTGTAGACGTTCGACCATACCATCGGTCTGCGGGTGGTAGGGGGAAGTCCGGACCTTCTGTGTGCACAAAAGGTCACAAACCTCCCGCAGAAGATTGGACGAAAAGTTCTTTCCCTGATCGGTTAGCAGCCGTTCCGGGGCACCCTTATCCAGGACGTAGCCCTGGAGAAACGCCTCCGCAATGGCTGCTGCCGACTGGTTGGGGAGGGGCCAGGCCATAGGCCAACGGGTGAAATATTCAACCCCAACCAGCAGGTACTTATTTCCCCGAGCGGTGACAGGGAAGGGACCCAGAATGTCAAGAGCCACCAACTCATTAACCCGGGACACCTGAATGGACTGAAGGGGTGGGCAAGCCGCCCTAGCCGGGTGTTTCCGCCGCGCACACTGTGTGCAACTATTCAAAAGGTCGGCGACATCGCGCGCCATTCCCGGCCAAAAAAAATCCAATTGCAGTGTAGCGAGCGTTTTGTGAATACCCAAATGCAGGATGCGTTCGTGCGCCGCCCACACGGCCCTGCCCCGCAGAGCGGTGGGGACGACGATTCTGTAACGCCCCGAGCTGGCGTCCCATGACATGAGGAGACCCTCCCGCAACCTGACAGTACCTACCCTTTCCTGACAATCTCCCCCTCTCTCCGCACGACGGCGTAACCTGAGGAGGGAATTGTCTTCCATCTGGAACCGTCCCCATTCGTCCAGAGGCAGATCGAGGAGTGAGTCGCGAGCGACCAACACCTGCGAGTCCCCCTCGGCGACAGGTTCCCTATCGACCACCCCTGCTGCCGCTGCCAAGGGAGAAGCCGGAGCGGTACTCGTGGCCGATTTGCATCTCCCCGAGCCCATAAAACACGCGCACCCATCACCCGGAGGAAGGCGTGACAAGCCATCCGCGTTCAAATGTTGTGTCCCCTTCCGGTACACCACCGTGAACGTGTAGTCCTGTAGGACCTCAAGCCAACGTGACAGCTGGCCGGACGGCTGGTCTATTTTCAACGCATACTGTAGCGCGGCGTGATCGGAACGAACCGTAAAATGCCTACCGTACAGGTACGGTCGATATTGTTGAACAAACACGACAATAGCGAGCAGTTCACGGCGGGTGACGCAATAACGTTGCTCTGCCGGAGACAGGACTCTACTGCCATAGGCAACGACCCGTTCGACCCCGTTGACAACCTGCGAAAGCACTGCGCCGATGCCGGTATTGCTGGCATCGGTGTCCAGGATGAAGGGCAACGTGAAATCGGGATAGCACAAGGGAGGAGCTCGGACAAGGGCATCGCGAAGCGCCCTGAACGCCCTGTCTTCCTCTTCCCCCCAATGGAATTTAGCCCCCTTAGCCGTCAGAGCATGAAGGGGTTTGGCGATCGTCGCAAACCCCTCAACAAACCGGCGGTAATAGGACGCAAAGCCTATAAAGCTGCGGACTTCCCCCACAGACGTGGGCGTGGGCCACGACCTTACACAGTCAGTTTTAGCAGGATCGGTGGCTATACCCGTAGAACTGACAACGTGGCCGAGGTACCGCACCGATTCACGCAACAGGAAACATTTCTGAGGCTTAAATTTAAGGTTAGCCGATCGCACTCTGAGAAATACAGCCCGCAGTCTGTCCAGATGTTCCTCAAACGTACGGCTGAAAATAATCACGTCGTCCAGATATATAAGACAAGAGTCCCACTGCAGGCCAGCGAGGACCAGTTCCATCAATCTCTGGAACGTCGCTGGAGCTGAGTGCAATCCCATGGGCAACCGGTTGAACTGATAAAGGCCCTGTGGCGTACGGAACGCGGTCTTAGGTTTGGAAGCGTCATCCAAGGGCAGTTGCCAAAACCCCGACAAAAGGTCCAAGGTTGAAAAATACCGTGCCCCCGCCAAGGCATCGAGCGACTCGTCCATGCGAGGGAGTGGATACGCGTCCGCCAGCGAAACCTTGTTAAGCTTCCGAAAATCCACACAAAACCTCAAACTGCCATCATGTTTTTTAACAAGCACAATGGGCGCACCCCATGGGCTGTTGGAGGGAGCCACAATGTCTGCGGCAAGCATGTCATTCACTGCCAACCGGACATGTTCCTTCTCTGCCGGACTTAATCGGAACGGATTTTGCCGAATGGGAGCGGAATCCCCCGTATCAATGTGGTGTTTCAATAGATTAGTGCACCCAACATCGAATTTGTGTTTGCTAAAAACATCGGGAAAATCACGAAGCAACATGCGCAGCTTGAATCTTTATGACTCTGAAAGATTTTCAGCCCCTGAACAGAGAGAATCCATCCATGCCTCATCGACACCCACCTGCGTCCCGGACGCCGGCGCCTCACCGACATGAGCTGCAACGGAGTCAGTGTGCAGCGGCAGCGACGCATGTGCAATGACAGCCCCTCGGTGCACGACCTTCGTCCGCAACCCCGCATTCAGCACCTGAATGAAGGGCTGTTCATCTCTAGGCACAAGCTGTTGTATATGTTGGGTATGAAAATTTGTTATGTTGTATGCGTGCGTGGGTGAAATTATTATGTTGTATGTGTGGGTTATGAATATTCAGTGGAAATAATAATAATTAATGAAATTTGGCCAAATGTGTAATTATCCGGAAATATGTTAATTATGTAATTACGCACATTTTAATTATGCCAATTCGAGAGGTAATCGTATTAATTATGCGAGTGGGTGTAATTATGATAACGCAAGTCGTTATGATAACCAGACCCCGGTTCA